GAAAGTGTTAATCACATCTTTCCTTGCTAAGAATTATTGAAAAATATAAATAAGGGTAATGTTGTTAAACGGCTCGAAACGAGCCGATTTTTAAAAGCGGCTAACTTAATATTTTATTCGGAAATATATTATAAGCAAGCCTGGAGATTTTAGTCAAACTTAGATGGTACTAAAGGTTTGGACATTTATTAATCTCGAGACATGAGTGAGCAATATTTTTCTGTGAGTGAGCCATTTAAATTCGGTTCTCGAGCTGTTTAACAACACTAAATAACGAAATACATAAATAAAAAATCAATCCAAATAAAATAGAATATCCCGTATACTTATAAAAATGTTTATACAATTGTTCAAAATAAATTTTAAAATGTTTATTTAAATAGCTTGATTTGAACGATATTTTATTATCATAACTATAAAATTAGTCCTATATGGATTCTAAATTTAAAAAATATATATATATTGACCCTTTTACTATTTTATCGCTAATAATTAATTATCAAGTTTAATCTAGATTTTGTAGGTATATTTCTAATAATATGACCCAATATCACCTATATTTGACTTCTCTATAAGAAGTAGGTAAATATTATCAAATGAAAATGGCATAAACAAAACTCGTTTAACATTATGCCCCAAACGGGATAACATTATTTAAAATTAGTTTTACATTTTAAATTTATTTTTTGTTTTAATTTATAATAAATATTATCAGGGCTTGCAGTTATATTGTCCAACCTAAAAACGATTTTGGTGTAACATATTTCAAATTTATACTTTTTCTTTCTCCTATTTAAGAATTAAATTTAGTTGAAGTTATTCACATTAACCTTCAAGTCTTAATTATAATAAAAATTATTAAAATTAAAATATTTTATTTTTGTCAGCAATCATTTTACAATTTATGCTTTCGTTCTACTTTCATGAGGTATAAAAAAAAAGAAAAAAAAATACAAAAAGTGTAGGTATCATCTATTCTTAAAAATGGAGCTAAAAGAAAGACCGGGTTAAAAAAATTTTTCACATTTATAACTTATTATTTGCTATTGAATAAAGAAATAGCTAATTTCTTATTTGTTTAAATTCGAATGGAATAATTTGATGATAAAAAAAAAATTTAAAATACTGGATAAAACTAGCTAATTACACAAACTTATTATTCATTTTGAAAATAATTGAGTGTCATCTCTTGCTTTTTATGAGTACGAAAATTTTAAAAATATTAAAGGGGAGTAAGAGGTTAATAATATTTTATATTGAGTTTAGAAATACAATAGAGTTCACTTAAGTGCTATGTATATGATTAAATCTAATTTATTATTGACTCAGTAGCCATGTTTAAAGTTAAATATGACTAAAACATTATACAATTAAAAAATAAAATTGTTTATTAGGTAAATATCTTATTTTTTGTTCCATAGAAATCTAAAAAAGAAAATCCCTTATTTAGATTTTATTATAATTCATAGTAATGATAAGATCAAACAATAGAATGAATTCGGACATCAATCTAACGCGAGAATCTTTATAATAAATCGTTTTCATTCGCAGGATTTATATATCCTATTCCTAAAGCCTATTAAATCTTAATTTAAGTCACACATATTATCGATAATATATGAAAATTTGTCAAAGTTTCTAAAAAGGAAAATAGATACCTATCGGTAATTATTTGTCGATGTTATATATTGATAATTTTAGGCACATGAAACATCTGAAAAATTCTAATGGTCTTCTTTACTATGATATCACGCCTTTAGCGTGAAGTTAGCCAAATTTCTGCAAGCAAACTCTAGGGCTGCAACTCATTTAATAGCTAGTTTAAAAAAACATATTATTGGCAATAAAATTTTGCCAAAACATTAAGCTTAAAAAAATGATACAAATGAATATCTGGGTGAGCAAATATGTAATACCTTATTATTATTTATATTCATCTATCCGTTTTTCAATAAATAAAAATCCATTATAAATTAAATAAAAATAACAACACGCCTTAGATTGCTCTCAAGAATAGGATTGCGAAACAAGGAATCTTAACTACGTAATAAATACATTAAGGTTTCTTTTTCTCCTAATAAAAATATTTTTGAATCTCGTGATTTTTATGATCTCTATATATATTTTCCTTTTCGGTTTATTTAATAGATTATAGAAGAAAAATAGTCTAAATATCATTATTTTAAAATCGAGTTATACTAATTTATCAATCTGGCTCATAATAAGACGCAGTGCATGAAATTTTCCAAATTTTAAAAGCACTAATTTTAAAGCTTAGGCCAAAATGTATATATTATACAGTATAATCTTCAATCAGTTTGGTATAAATAGTATAAATAAAGGTTACCAAAATAAAAATTACCAAAATTCAAAGAATCTAGAAGCACTAAAGAAATTATGAGGTTCACTTACTCCAATTGTATTGATAGATACTCTGTAAATTTAGTAGTGGTAGCATAAAAAAAATAAGTCAAATAGACTTGTAGTATCTTTGGGAAAAAATTATATTTTCATTATACCTCAAATTTAAACTTAAAAAATTATTATAATAATCTGATAATAAAGAACGTATTAAGTAATAAACGAAATTAAAAATGCATAAGTTAATAATACCAAACCAATTTTTAAGAAAGTATTCTTTTTAAGACATGCCCTTTTTTGACAGCAAATTAGTACTAATGACAGCCTTTTACGAGCAGTTTATTCATGACATTATTAATAAAATCATCTGTCTGATTTGATAGGTTATCAATAGAAATGACAAATGAATTAAATTAGATTAAAAATTATTCAGAATATCGATCAAATTATTCAAACAATTCCATTCGAATAAAAATAAATTATTCGATTTATTTGCCGAATAAACAAATTATTCAAATAATTTGATGAATATTCGTGTTACACCTTTTATTCGAATGTTATTCGAACAAAACAAATAATTTACTATTTGTATTCGTTATCATTCCGTTTCGTATTATTTTAAACCAATATTCGATTCGATTTTTAATAGGCCATCTCTAACGAGCAAACAAACATGTGGAGGGTTTTTATTTACATTTAATTAAAAAGTAATTTTGATTTTGGTAAAACATCATGAGATAATTTGACTTACATTTCAAAAATAAAATATAGCTAGTTAGCTAGTTGCAGTTACTATTTATAATTTTACTATGTAACTAGATACAATTATTTCCCACAAAAATACAACTAGTTACTTTACTATGACAAGAATAGAAATTATATATACACATTTTTATTTTAGTTTTAAAAATTATCTAGCTTTTAAATTTGAATATTATAAAAAAAATTTAATCTATTATTATTTTTCAAATTAGAGAGAATATGATAATCTCAAATAACTTTTTATCAGTTTCATTTTATAAAATCATTTTTCTTTTTTGAACCCTGATAAAGGGATTGGTCATTCTCCTTAATTCTAGTGCAAAGTTTAGGCACAGATTATTACTTATAAAATTTATGATATCAATGGGTGGCACATTAAATTACATCTGATAAATTACCATTTGCTACAATATTCATTTCACCAATGATTTATAGTTATAAAATTTCCTTAGATTTTTTATTATTTTACAAAGCTTCCTTTCGCATTAATTTATAATCTAATATGTATAAATTTCAAAATCTCAAATTTGATTTTTTGCAGCATCTGTGAGATAAAATAGATTTCTAATTTTAATTTTTCTTAAGAATTAACAATAGGGCAATCTTCAGATTCTTAGTCAAACATTTGTTTCATTTATTGAACAGGATATTTTGATTATCAATTTTAACAACAAAATTAATAGTCTCATTTAATTCTTCAAATCATTTTTATTTTCGTCAGTCGAGGATTTTATTATTAATTTTATTTAACATTTTATATCATACTATTATTGTGCAAATTAATTGAGAATTTTTTATAATTCTCTACATGCACAAATTAAAATATACTAGATATTTGCTAAGTGTGGTGACAATTCTATAGTCTCTAAAAATATAAAAACTAGCTCTTTTAAGCGTCTATTTTGTTATTTTTTTTTTAAAGAATATTTTCAAATCTAATAAAATAACCTTTTTTAATTTGGCGCCCTCAAAAATTAGGGTTGTGAACAAATTCGGGTTCAGAATTTTAAAATTGTTTAGTTGGGCATTTTGAAACCACGGACCTAACAGAGTCCTATTTATGGGCAACCCATCAAACCCCCGGGGTAACATAAACCTAGGGCTAGTTCAGAAATCTTTTAGAAAATCGGTGATTAAGTTCCTGTTATCAAAATTTCAGATAAATAGAATTTAAAATTCCTGAACCTAAATTCATGTTCACAAACCTACCAAAAATCAAATTTTGGTGGCGATCTAAGCATATTCCATTCTATGGCTAGGTAGCTAATACTCATACCTTTCTCAACTCACCATAGGCAATTTAGGTGGCTAAAAAATATCTGAAGAAGGATAATCTATATAATGTTATACTTTAGTTAAAGCTTTTTAGTAGGATTAAAATTAAACATTAAATGTATAATATTATTTATTTTTTTAAACAATACAATACGGAAGAATTTCGTACAACGTAAAAGCTATAAATAACGATTACGTATTTGTTATCATCGTAAACTTGTTGGCAGATGTCAAACGAGTTCTAATTTTCATTTTATGTTTTTGTTTTAGTAAATGTTTTAAGTTATTTGTTTATTCGATAATCATATTAAAGTTTTTACTCCATAAGGTATGACTATTTTTTTTTATAATATAACATAATATTAAGGCCGGATTCATCGTGGGATACGATCCGATAACAGCTGATAGATTTTAAAATCAATTTTGCTTTTATTCATGATAATAATCTAAGTATTGATATTAATAAAGAAAAATTGATCTCAACAGATCAGATTTTCAACAATCAGATGTCACTATGAATACAGCCTAACCCTTAAATCGAGCTTTATATAATAAAATAAATTACTTTTTCAATTTTAGGGGAGATTACGATTTTTTAAAAAATGGCAGCTGTAGATTTGATAAGAGACCCAAGAGTTATCAAAGACGCGGTAACGGATATAAATCAAAGTGTCCTTGTTATTCGTAGCGCGGTTCAAGCACTCAATCAATTGACAAACCCTACTCAGAGTATTAAAAATAGTTTACTTTTCAAGAATATAGTGTTGTTTAAACGACTTGATTTGAGTCGATTTTTAAAAATGTTTGCCAGAAAATTTTTACCTAAGCCTGATTCTGCCAACTGATGTCCAAATCTTTGTGTCATCTACGTGTGAAATCCACAGGCATACGTAATATTTTTCTGGTGAGTTAGTCATTTTTAAAAATCGGATAAAATGGAGCCGTTTTACAATATCTTGTATAATTTATTGATTTATGCTTCTATGTCCCTTTTTTTAAATTTAGATCTAATTTAACAATCATATGCTTAATCAATATGAATGGAAGCTATATAGCTTTATTGAAAACCTCTAAATAACCGTTTTTTAAACTCAAGATTTTGTGTATAAATGAGCAGAAATTCAAGGCATAATAATATGGCTAAAATCTTGATTTCGTCGCTTTTTTATATATATAAAATAGCCCTAATAGAGGTTTTAGATAATACAATTATGAGCTTTATTAATCTTTTTTTTAAAAAAATTAACTGAAATCGTATTAAAATAATTTAATTCCTTTTAGAATTGGGATAAATCAAAAATAAAAATACAAAATCATTATTAAATTTTTATAAGTTTTAAAAAAATGACTATCTTAAGAAAAATTTACATGTAATTGGAATAAATTGCTTCTTTTTTTCTCTTCAATTATGAGCGATAGATTTAGATAGAAAAAGTAGGACCAAAAATTGGCAAGAAAGAAGGAAAGAAAGTTTCATAATTTATTTCTAACTTTGTTTTCTGTGCTATTATATACATGTTAGCGAATAGAGGAAATTGAAATCATTAATATGATGCGTTTTTAATCTTGAAATATCTAAGCTTGGTCAGAATTATAATCTACCATATATGGCACCTACCCATATCTACTTAACCACATGAATTTCAAAAAATTTTACTAAGCCATTTCGGGCTAACTTTAATCGATAATAATAATTAAATCTACTGAATATTTGAATTAAATATTTTTTTTCAAAATTTCTTGCCATATTGTCTGAAAATCCTAGAGTAAATACTATACACATGGTCAAATATTATTCAGAAAAAATCAAATAATTTAAGCAATTTACGTTATAATTTCAAAGATACCTCCCTAGTACAATACCAAATTAAACTAAATTCTTTATACTATACGAGATATTGTATAATTTATATTACTAACCTTCAAAATTAGTCTATATTATGATTTAAAATAATACAATATTGGATTGGATCATTTTTAATTATCTATTCCATTATTTATTTTTCACAGGGCTATCACCCGAAAAGAACGACTTAAATGCCATCCGCACACATTTGAGGGAAAGTTTAAAGGTGAATTATAACGATCATATATTATTAAAAATAATTTATAAATTATAATAAGGAATTATCACTATGCTTGTAACAAAGTCTTGTAACAATTTGGGTGTTTATTTTCATTATATAAAATATTGTCGACTGAAAAGAATGATAAGCTTACCATGGAAAATTCGAGGTTGGGAAACAGAAATTTCAGGATTTCTATCTGCAGTATTTATCGAGGGATAAACGAATACTCATTAAAACCAACCAATATAGGCTTCTGGTCATAAAAAATAATAAATCAAAATATTTAGTTTTTTATTTAAAAAAAATGAGGAAGCAAAAAATGCTGCCCGCTTAGAAATAATTTTTATACAGTTAGTAAAAAACCAGTTTATTATTAAAAACAATCGCTAACTATTTTTATTTGATATTCATATCAATTATAATGCCTGAAATAATTTTGTTATGGTTTTATAGAATGGTAAATAAATAGTAGTCATTGCAAATTCTTTGGGGGTGGGGGAGTGCCTCCAACAAATTTCCTGTAATATAGAATCTTCTGATATCTAAATCTAAAAAAAGTCATTTGATGAATTTATTTTAATAAGATCAATATTTAGGCTTTAAAATGTATTGATTTTAAAGGCTTGATCCATTTATCAAACCTATATTCTTGGATATGTTCTCACCTAATCATATTGCTTCGGCATAACAAATATTAATAAAGAAAAAATATAAAAATTTTATCATTTAAATCTATTCTAACTAATTATTTATAATTAAATTTGAATGTAGCATGGATATAAATTATGATGTTATAGTTTTATAGAAGAAAATAATCCTCAAAATTATCAAAAATAGATTTTATTACTATAAACTACCTCCTAACCTCATTAATATATCAATAAAAAAACTGTTTCAGAAACTCCCCCCATTCTAAAGGGTCCTAAGTCCCTAATACCCTCCAAAGATTTCGAGGAAAAACTACTTCATTATCCCCCCATCACGTAAAATTGTTTTAAGTTTATAAGCTCTATTTAGCTAAAATGGAAATATAGAGTATAAGATCATGTATTCGTTGAGAAATAAATTAGTAATCGATTCTAAAATAAATTGCATCTGATCATGATTTTCAAACTATAATTTAAAAAAAAATAAAATAATTAGCATGATATTGAAAATGTCGGTATTGGTAAATCAATTGATAATCTCGCTGAAGTAAATAAAATAGCGGCCAGGATTAAAGGGGCCAGACCCGATATGAATAATGCGGAAATCAACGCTTTAGCACATGATTTGTATGACAAAATAAGAGAAGACCCATGTAAAACAATCGTATTTATTTTTTAAAGATTTTTATTTTTAAAAAATGATTCATCATAATGAAAAAAAAAATTTATTTTTCAACTATATACATTTTATTATCTAATAAAATAGCAAACCGAAACATAGTAGAAAGCGTGCTTAGAGATTTGGAATTGGGAAAAATCAAAGGAAAATCGCCTGAAAGAAAGGGGTTTGACAAATTAGTGGGTGATTTTTCGAAATCTTACGGTGGAGAAGTGATAAAAGTTTTAAATTGATCTCTCTCGCATAACCTATTTCATTTTTTTTTTAAAAAATTTAAATAGAAAGCTATGCAAAAAGCGCTGGAAATCAAGGCCAATTATCCTGCCATGACCCGACAAACCTTGCTGTGTTTAATATACGATCTATGCGAAAAAATAATGGATGAAGAAGGAAAAGCCCCAGGAGCATTCAAATCAGCTTCTTCTTCTAATATGAAAGCCTCTGCAATTTTTGATGCAGGTTTTAGATTTTATCAATTGAGAAAGCCTATATAATAATAAATGGGATAAGGCGTTAAACATGCATAGCAAAAAAAAACTCATAAAATTTAGTCTATTGCAAGGTTAATGTGTATTCTGATACAATAGGTCCGAATCACAATCTTTAATTTTCCAAAATTTTAACAAGGATTGTAAGATAGATGTACTAATAATAAAATACAATATTTTCAACATATTAACTATTTTTATTTTATATCAATGTTTCCCTTCCAAAAAAAGATTTCAATGTTAGAGATGATTTCGCTAATCCCCTAGGCGTCGATCTGAAGGGAAGATCAGTAAATATGGATGCCCTATGCAAAGTAATTTTCTTATAATTACTCCTTTGCACATGTCTTAATTAAAATGATCCTTCAAATTTTAATAATTTTAGACAGTGCGCCTTTTGACCAGATTAAAAAAAATGCACCCAGACTGGCCAAAAGAAGACATATTGTTTAAAATCAATTCAATTTACAATAGTCTAGCGAATGGGGAAAGAACCTTTCAAGATTGGAGCATGGAAATACCTGCGCCTTTAGGATCTATCTCGTAAAACAATGTTTTATTTAAATTTAAATTGAACGACTTTAATAAAATGAGTTAACATCCGTGTTTATTCATTTCCTTATTCAATATATTAAATTAACATATAAATACTAGCCTGGACCTGTATCAGTTCGAGTTCTGAATATTCGGTTCATTTCTAAAATTTTAAACAGCTAGTTTTCGCTGTTTCCAGTCACAGATTTTTAGGCCCAAGGATCCAAGTTTTTGGTTAGTTTCTGTCAAAGTAGTAATCAAATTAAAAAAAATATGAATCATACGTGTGCCGAAATTTTAAAAATATGTTCTGTTCTAATTCGCCTAAATTTTAAAAGACGGTTACAGATTCTAGTTTAGTATTCGGATTCTAAAGTCTGCACATATTGATTAGTGTTTAATATTAAAAATTTTTGATTGAAACAATACATTTTTTCTTTCATTATCAGCCATTTGGTTATATTGGATAATCATTTTGTTTGAAAATGATAATTCTATAGCCACACATTGTTAAAAAATTATCCCTAACGAGTTTCATGCAAATAATTTGTAAAGGAGATAGTTTAGACAATCTAAAAGTGTCTGCATTATTGAATATTTATTTTGGAATCTTTTATTTCTTTTGCAATTAAATCATACATTTTCATATTTCCATATTCGTACCTGATGCTGTTACAAAAAAAAATATCAAGGTCAATTTTTTTCTATCAGACTTATTTAATTCTATTTTTAACACATGAGAGCGACTCTAATTTAAATAGTAAAAATTTTAAATGGAGTATGTTGAAGTTATTAAAAAAAAAGATATATTTTTTTTATGTTATGATTTGAATATTTAAATGATAGATGAATATTTAAGTTATCTGTAATGAACTTACATTTTTGTTAAATTTTGCATAAACAAATTTTTTTTATTTGAACATAAAAACCCATGATTATTAACGAACGTCTATGTACGAATAATATTATAGATTATTGTTATTTTGCATAGAAAATGTTTTGTTTTTTGCATAGCAAATTTTTTATATATAAACTCGCAATTTTTTTAAAATACAAACAATCGGATATTGGAAAATAAACTACTTAAGGGTATTATTAAATTGATAGTGAATATAATCTTACTATTATTTATATCGAAAAATCAACAAATTCGACAGAGTATATTTTTGATAAAATAACAAATCGCAGGACGAATTTAGATTGTCTAAAAATAGGGATAAAGAAGCCTCTATCATATTCATACAAAATAAGAAAGATATAATCAAAATACACACCTAGTTCATAATTAGCCACGAGTTTTTTTTTCTAGCCAAATTTGAGAATTAATGTCATCACATTATAGCAAATCCATACATTATTTAAATTAGTGATCAATTTTTTGTTAAATAAACATAAATTCCGAAATTAGGCAAGAAAACTTGTAGATAGATTTTTTTTTGTGTTAGGACATATGATATGCATAATTTAATTTTATTATTGATGCATGTATCTTCTAGCCTCTGTAAAGTAATACAATTTTATATATTCTCATTTTGAAAAAGGCAACCAGATCCTTACTTTAGACAACCCATGGTAAATCAGATTATGGAAAAGCCTATGGAGATGAACGATGATATGACGGAAGTTTCGCAAGAGATCATGCATGCCGTATCCTCTATTAAAGATGGAATTCATAACCTTAGAAGCACAGCAGAAGGTTAATTGTATTTAGTAGTAAACAATATATATTATATAACATACAAACCAGGGTCAATTAAAATTTTTACGAATTCTATATCAGTTTCGAAATGATTCAAGATTTCTGGAGTTTTTTATTAAAATTGAAACATAATGAGATTTATTTGATATAAATTCACTTCTTCCATTTTTTTTAGCCTATAGTAACTTCCATAAGGTAATATTTTATACGATTAATCTTATTTACATGTAGATATTAAGTTAATTGAAGCAGCTCTGGTCTCGGGTCCACCATCCCCTGATTTAGAAAAGATGCGACAGGAGACTGAAAAAGCACGGTTACAGGTACATATGACCATTAAAACTCGATTTTATATTTTTAAATTGTATTTAAGATGGAGCTTGCAAAAGAACAGGGTAAATTAGCGGCGAAGAAAGCGGATGCAAAACCTAAAGAAAAGGAAAAAGAGAAGAAGAAAGGTATATAAATTATTTTCAAATATTTTAACCCTTTAAGCATCTCAAAAAAAATAAGCATGAATGTGGATTGTGTATTGCTTTCGTCAATATGCGTAATATCCTATAATATTATACGAAATTTATAGTATTAATCAAGTCATCGTTAATTTACTCACTTACTCACTTATTTTTTCTTCTATATAATGATATGGGGAATTCATGAATTGATAATTATTTTTATTTTTGAGATATTTCAATATTTTCAATAAATTAAAAACAGCCCGATTAAGATTTTAACTAAAATAATAATGTAAGCCTCAAGATTTGGCATATAGAGGTTTAAATTCTTCTGTCACCTATGAGAAAAATTTCTAGGCTTGCATAATAATAATGAACCGTTTTTAAAAATCGACCCAAATTGGGCCATTTAACAACACTAATTGACAGATAACAAAATTAGTTATATCGAAATGTGTCAAAAAAAAAAAATAAATATATATTTTTATAAAAATGAATGATTAAGTATCATCAAAACAATTTACTTTAGCATGATTTATTACTTTATATTCAATTAGGTTTCCAAATATCAAAATGTTTAAAGAAGGACCCAAAAGGTATGTAAATTAATTTTTTGATTTTTTACTGCCAATTTTTCGATAGGGGAGACTAATTTTCCGATTTGCAATAAAACAATTCTAAGGGCTTAGATTAAAAGTATTTAATTATACAATCAAAATATTGGCCAAATTAATTTGAGCTATCTACCTTAAATTATTAAAAAGTTATTGGGGTTTGATTTGTTATTTTAGTTACCGTCATGCCCTTGTCTCCCCGACATAATTAATGAGAAACTCTAATTTTATCGATACATTATTATATTTTTTTTTATTTCGTGGATAAGATAAAAATGCAAAAGAGGAAAAACCTAAAAAGGACAAAAAAGACAGTAAAAAAGATAGCAAAAAAGGCAAAAAAGATAGCAAAAAAGATAAAAAGAAAGATAAATCAAAGGGTGGATCTAGCACTGAAGGACCTTCTGAAAGCGATGTTTCCGAATCAGAGAAAGAGTCAAGTGGGACCTCGGAAGGTTAAAAAAGTGCTTTATATATTCCTTTTTTAAAAAAAAACAACTGGTTTCTGAGCCTATAAAATCTTTTATTGAACTATATGTTTATATTATAAAAAAATCTAAAAATATCGAGCATTATTAAACTTATAAAATACTCATTTTCTTAAATTTTGACTATGAATTATTTTGAACATTACCTTAAGGAAAATGAGCGAATGGATAGTTACAGTCATAGTCACCATAGTTTAACTTCACAATATATGGAAAACATAATTGCCATTATTTTAAAATATCAAAATTGGCTGAGGTAGACCCATTTTGTTTGGTCATTTCTGGATCAAATTTGTCTATTAAATTGTTGATTTTGACTTGTGGTACAGCGCGAAGCAGCCATAAAAATTTGTTTGATTTTCAACAGGGGAGTGGGGCGCCAGAGATTGATCTCACTTCTCTGATTCTCCCTATGTTTGATCCGATCAAAACATAGATATTAGTTAAATTTAGTTCATAAAAAAATTGGCTTGTCCATCCATTTGTTTATCACGGCCTATGGTGTTGATTACTCATTACCTTTGAGAGGTTAATTGGATAAAAAATATGGGAGGTTTGATGGGGTGTAGTTAGATGTGCTCCGACAAAACTATCGACAACATCTGAGAGTTTTAAAAATTCAAATTGATGACCGGCGGCGGCGGCTTATTAGCCACCTTCATCATGTGTAGCGTGTTGGCATAGTGGCATAAATTTTTTATAATAATATATTCAATTATGTGAATTTCTAATAAAAATACAAGCTAAATTAAATAAAAAATATACATTACAGATATTTGTGGTATATTTTTAGATTTTTTATTGAAAAGAAAACTAATTATAAATTTAAATTCAATTTTGTAATTTTATAGTTGTCATATATATTTTATTTAGATTTGTTGACAATTTTACAAAATATTTAAAATTATGGTATCTTTTTGTAATTTTAGATTTTTGATTGATTGAATTTTAAAGTGAAAATCAAAATTATAATTATGTTAAAATAGGTGATAAATAAAGTCATCAAAACCCTGATAAATACTATATATTTACAATAGTAACGTTAAACTAATAATCTAAAAATCTAAGAAATATTTTAAAAAATTTATAGCTCACGTCAGCCTGATTTTGACAAACGGTGACGTTTTTGGCATGATTAAAAATGCCTGTCGGGGCACCTCTCCTACTAATTAACTTCCTATTTGGACGATTAAATCTCATTTTTACATAGTATATTTTAATTAAGTTAACCTTTTATATTATAAACAAAAAATAAATAAAAATTATATAAGCAAATAAATAAGATTTTTAAAAGAAATTTTTGTAAAGAATGCCAAAAATAAACATAATTGTGCTAAATATGAGAGACCTGCAAGCCGAGTTCCAAAACTCTATCTTCTGGTACCAACCTTTAAAAAATCAGAAACTCAACAGTGTTTAGAGAACCTAGGCCGGTCCGATTGTTCTAAAAAAAATTATTAAATCAACAATTCAGTTGCGGAAATATTTTAATAAATCAATGAAGTTGTTTAATATTTCAATTTTCCACTGAAACAATTTATAAAAGACTGTCCAAAATTATTCAAAATAACAAACAAAATTTAAATTATATCTAAATTTTAAAAATCCGAAAAGGATTAGAAAAATAAATGTTTTGGTGGGGCCAAAAATATCTGGAAAATTTAAACTAACATCTGACTAGGCTTATAATTTTGACCTATGCAGGTCTGATAAATAATATCGTCGCCTAAGAATTTGAATATTCTATCTCCACTTTTTGTAATTTTACAGGATTCGCGTTTTTAAGCGGTTCCATTTTTAACGGCTAACCCAATTTTAGCCAAAACTATCATGCAAACCTGGAGATCTTGCATATAGAAGGTAAAAAGGTTTGGACATCTAACAAAATCTTGAGAATGGCGTAATATTTTTTGACAAAAATATTGGATTAGCCGTTTTTAAAAATCGTACACAGGAGAGCAATTTAATAAATTATGTTGCTATAGTTTTCAATAGGATGGTTAACCTAATATCGGATTTAATTTAATTTTATTTATTTTATAAATATTTGGTATTTTTTTAACGAAAATTGAATGGTATAATTATAAAAAAATATGTAAAAAATATTTTAAAAAGTGGATACAGAATAGTCTAATTCTCAGTCTACAATATGTTATTTTATGTTCTTTTACAAAAATATGTAAATACATGCAAAATTATTTTATTTAAATATTAGTATTAAATAAGTAATATTTACATGTTTAAAACGATTTAGATACTTCTGAGGAGCACTCCCTCAAACCTATCATTGAATAAAATTGGCCTTACTTAATAGCTGATGGGAATGATTCTAAAAATAATTAAAGATGTTAGAATATATACTAAAATAAAATGTAAATTAAAAAAACATTTTATCAAATTATATTGTATTAAATTAAAGCTGAAAGTTCGGCTCCCAGTAAAGGAAGCAAAAAGAAGAAGAAAGATGGCAAGGGCAAGGATAAGAGCGACACAGATACCGATAAAGATAAGTCAAAAGACAAAGATAAAAATAAGAAAGGCAAAGATAAAGATAAAGATGACAAGGAAAAAGATAAATCTGATGGGAAAAAAAAGGAAGAAGAAGGAAAGGATAAAGACAAGGATAAAGATGCCTCTAAAGATAAAGCTCCTCCTCCAAAGATAGGAGTAACTCCGGATAGCCCAAGCCAGCCTTCACCTCCTGGAGCAATAGCTGGCTCTCCTAGACCCCCTGCACCCCCTGCATCAGGAATTCCACCTGTGGGCTTGCCTAGAGGACCTCCTCAAGTACCTCCTCCACCGGGACAATTAGGAAGCCCTAGACCAGGTCCACCTGGAGTTTCACCCGGCCTTCTAGAAGGTCCTAGACCAGGTCCACCTGGAGTTCCGCCTCCTCCGAGAACTGTAGGAAGTCCTAGACCGAGTCCACCTGGAGTTCCCTCTCCTCCGAGAACTTTGGAAGGTCCTAGACCAGGTCTACCTGGAGCACCCCCGCCTGGGCCTCCGGGTGCCGTAGGAAGTCCCAGACCTGGTCCACCTGGAGCCCCACCAAGACCTCCAGGACCTGGAATACCAGGACCACCCGGTATGCCGCCTGGTGCTCGACCAGGCCCACCTGGAGGCCCTCCTGGCCCGCCAGGCCCTCCTGGCCCTCCTGGAGCAAGAATGCCACCACCTGGAATGCCCCCTGGTTCTCCTGGAATGCCTCCTGGCCCACCTGGAGCGAGACCTCCTGGCCAACCTGGAATGCCTCCTGGCCCACCTGGAGCAAGACCTCCTGGCCCACCTGGAATGCCTCCTGGCCCTCCTGGAGCAAGACCTCCTGGCCCACCTGGAATGCCTACTGGCCCTCCTGGAGCAAGACCTCCTGGCCCACCTGGAGCCCCTGGAGCCGCGCCAGGACCTCCACGAGCCCCACCTTTACCAGGGGCTGGTCCTCCCGGACCACCTGGTGCACCACCATTAGCTAGACCTCCTGGCCCGCCTGGAGTGCCTCCCGGGGCGAGACCTCCAGGTCCGGCTGGACCACCGGGCGCCCCTGCACGCCCAGGGGGCCCCCCTATGCCTGGAGGAGCCCCGCCTGGAGGAGCTCCGCCTGGAGGAGCCCCGCCTGGAGTGAGACCGCAGCCACCTCCAGGAATGGTTAGAGGTCCACCACCCCCACCTATCAGGCCTTAAAGCGATTATCACGATGAATTCCGAAACATTCTGATGTTTATTTTTATTGTATAGTCTATAACTTTTAATGTTACTATCATTTTTATGGTACCATTTTTTTTTATGATTTTATTATAAATTATGATTTAATTAGTATAAAGTAATCATTTATAAATTTAATATAATTATTTTGGTTCATTGCATAATTTGATTTCAGATTTTTATTATCACCGTATTTTGAAAAGTTATCTAACTTGACAAATATATTATAAAAAATATATAATCAATGAACCGGGCATACAATAAGCAGGTATTGTGTGGATATTTCCCATGGGTCGCGTATAGATTTTTATTTTAAGAGCGGCAAAAAATAAAACTAGGTATTTTTTTTAGTTTACGCATGACACTAACTATGCACTTAAGAACTTTTAAAAGGTCTTATTTCTTGTATTTAACTAAATTGCATAGCTGTTTATCAAACCTTATGTAATTGCTATAATAGGATGATATCGAATCGTAGGCCTAATTATTTAATGCAGAGTAAATAATATATCGCTATTGCGCTTTCTATAAATGAGGTATTTAGACTGACTACCTAAAGTGATTTAACTCTTTAACATTATATTTGGATTCTTTTTGATAATATTTGAGTATTTAGGTTTGGGTTCTGATTTATTTTATTTATTAAATGTTTGTAAATAATTAATAGAAAAATTTTTTTTTAAAGGTGTGTCTAATGATCGAAGATTCAAAAAAATAACAGACGAGGAGAAAAAAAATTATTTAAAATTAATCATAAAAATGGTAAAACGATCAAAGGCACTGCTGAAGATTTATTTAGATATTAATTAAGTAATGCGAGACAAATTATAAATATATGCTCATAAAAAAACATAACTCAAACTTTACCTAATAGTTGAATTCAGACTTAGAAACACTAAAATAAATTTATTAATATCTGAATTGTAATAATGTTGTGTTAATTATAAATGTTAAAATAAGATTTTCTTATTAAATTAAGCCAGATTTCTTATTCATAACATTTATCCATAAGGTAAATTCACATTTAAAAAATTTTTTGTAAAATAATTGAACCTCGCAAATCTGGAAAGTACTCTAAAGCTTCGTAAAAAAGTATCTGCAAAATATTTTGTGAAAATGTCTCTAACGTGCAAAATAATATGTTTTTTGAAAAAAGCATCGAAAGAATATCGAAAGGAGGTTAAAGCCCAGCTTAATCTAGTTTGAAACTTTCTACAATTAGAGATAGCAATACATTAATATCATTTAAAAATAATTAAGAGACACACTACAATATAACTGAAGGATAATTAATCATGTTCTAACACATTTAAAGATTACATCAATAAATTTCTTCAAATATGGATTAGTGAAATAATAATCTCATATAATTTTATGGAAGTATGAATCCCTATTTATGTATGTTAAACCCAATTGATTGAACAATATTTTCAGCTATTAATAGATACAGTCAGTCCTCTTAATCTTCAAATAAAAACTGAAGTATTTAGAAGATTCAATCAGAATGGTAGAACAAAATCAATTAAGAAAATAAAAATTATAATTATATTTTCGCGATTTTATGCATTATAAATAAATTAATCTTATAAAAATATGTTATATGTAAATATTTAAGGAATAATTTCTAGGAGATTTTTGAGAAAAGAAAGACATTTAGTAAAAGAAATGCGTCGTATGAAAAATTCAAAAATTTAATTTTTTTTAAAGAAATAGTAGAAAATATTCGAAACTAATAATAATACAAAGAGTGGGATGAGGAGTTTAAAAATGCTGGTGGAAACCAAAATGGCGTGGCACCAGCGGATTTATTATTGACACATATTTAAATAAATTGAATCGTTAGTCGAAGTAATATTATATGTCATTAATTGACACTCACTCTTTTTAAAACGATTATATCTAACCTGAAATTTCTGTATTAGGCTTTGATATTATTGACATTCATTTAGTGATTATAATTCAACTCAAGGAAATGGTCGTTACTGTAGTAAAGAAGTAATCTATTATAATATTTTATCATATTATATATTATATTTGCCAGTTAGATATGATTATATATATATATTTACGATTAATATAATAGGTGTTGTTTAACTTCCAAATGTATTAGGTACACACCCATCCATTAACGTGTAATTATATATCGCCATTAATAATTAAGTTACACCTTATGATTTATACTGAATAAAGTGTCAATGAAAACTGATACTTATTGGGAATGAATTATAGAAATAAATGAATGTAAATAATGGTTCTATCTTCGTTAAAGTTACAACAGCTGATTTATTTTAATTTATATTCGTCTGTTTATACTCGCATGACCTGTCAGATTTTACAGGTTTATTAATAAAAATACATTTTTAATTTATTTTAACCATAACCCATATATTTCATGCCTTTAAATAACCTTAACCCATTTCTCAATAACCGATACTTGTTTCATTTTAAATATATTTAATCCAATTAAAAAGTCTCCCTTAGTTGAATATTCACTGAGTTGAGATATTATCTTAATATATCGTAATCATGAAAAAAAAATTTGAAAAGTAAATATTTTGTCGGATAGGAGCCTTGCTCTACTAGAAACATATCAAAACAGTTTATTAGAATTAGTGATTAGGCTTCAAGTATACTACTTTGGAAAAAAATTATTATGTTAGTATATAGGGCAAACTCAAAATATTTTTATTATTCATTTAATGTTGCAATAAATTTAAATATTCAGCAAAGCAATAATATGTAAATGAATAATAAATATTTTCTAGCTCCAAAAATATTTTAAAAAGGTAATTTTCAAAATATTTCCTAAAAAAAGAATTATATTAAAACAACATAGAATGATTCCCACAAAAATAGAAATTATAAAAATATAATCAAAGACATTTAAGTAAAGTAAGGCTTGTTCAGCAATCCTTATAAAAAGGATCGAATTTCGATCACGATCTTTTCAAAATGATCACGATTTATTCATATTTTATTAATTTCTGAAGAAAGTTTATTTCCAATGCAAAATTAACAAATATAAAAATAAATTAAATATAGTGTAAATTTATTGTAATAGAATAATATAAGAATATTATATTTATTTAATCAAAAATTAGCCTTTAAATTAAATAATAATAAAGAATGAGAAATTATTATCATACAAACATCCATGTCTTTCATTAAGAACAGAACATATTTATCGTTATTACACAAGCGCTCCACATAAACGCTCGTTGGTAAAGGTATATTTTTTTATTTATATCAATATACAATTAATTGAATTAACAATGAATAAAAAAAATTAAAAAGCGCATTGAGAAAAATTTTTCTCAAAGAGGATATCAGTTTTATTTATATTAAAAAAACTAAATATCTATAAAAATTAATCTAAAAAATAAAAATATTTCAGTAGGAAGCTTCCATTAATGATATATAATCATCGATTAAAGCAGACACCATAAATTCAATTATAACTCACCGTCACTCACTTTTCTTTTTCTGGGGTTTAGTAATTTTTTTATTTGAAATTATTTTTAAACGATGATCATTATGAATCAGCTAAAACTTTCACCTTGCTATTTAATAATCAGTTTTCCAATAAAATTAGTTGGCAGTTATATAATTAATGGATTCTTTAAAGCCCGTATTAGATGCTAAACCCTTTACTAAGGTGCTAAATTATATTATTTTACTTGGTTTTATATTATGTAGATTTTTTATTGCAATGAATGGCATAATGCAAAAAGTGGTAAAACCTATAAAAATATTAATCCGGCCAATGAAGAAGTTATAGCTGATATTCAGGAAGGTGATAAGGTATTTAAATTAATCATAAATTAAATATAATCCAAAATCAAATCATAACACTAAAATTATATCTACTACCTGAACTATAGTTAAAATTATATAATATTTTCAGTGGGGTATATACATTTCTTGGTCCAAATTTTTTTGATTGGCTTATACTTATTTAAATAATGGTTTGAATTATAATTATTTTAAAAATTTGTTATAATGCACATTGTCTTAGCCCAAGCAAAAGAAAAAAGTGAATTTTAATTGATTTAATTATGCCAACCTTAGTGTCTCATTAATTGTTAGTTCTTATTTAATTGATTTTCACCTACTAGATACCACATTTAATATCTGTTAAGTAGTTTTGTTAAATGGCTCGATTTGAGCCAATTGTTAGAAATAGCAATGTTGTTAAAGTAACTAGTTACCTGTAATTACATTTTTGCTAAAAAATAACTATAACTAGTTATATTTTTTGAAATGTAACTGTCAAAAGTAACTAATTACTTTTAAAAATATATATGTATAAATCTAAATAATATATTCCAGTAATTAATTTTATTTTAAATATGTTTTTTTAAAAATAATATAACTATTTATTAAAATTATTATACTATATCTATATTCTATGTAAAAATATAAAAATAAAATAATGTATTTAGGTTTGGTCGGCAGTGCTTAATGACCCATGTATAGATATACATTTGGATCGACAAATTTTGATTGATATTCTTTGTCATAGGTAGAAGCCTTTTTTGGATCACGTGTGATTAAACGTAACCTTTGCATTGTTTTGAATAATTTTAGGGCTTGGGGTCCCAATGATCCACAGGTGTCTGAGACTACCAGAACAAACAAAAGATTATTAAGGTGGTTATATTTATTTGTTTTTGTATTTTCAGATTTGTGATAGAGTTGAAATAAAAAGATCTGGCAAAACAATCTACACATGTATAATCCCAAGCGAGGGGTATACATTGATTCCATGAGACTAGGGTAATTCCATTAGGGCTTAAGCCAGAGGGTTCCAGAGAATATTTGCAGATTTCAAGTTTCTATTGATATCGAATTGATGGTATAGTGCCTGGATAATTTGCTATTTGAAAAATGCAGTATGGGGGGGGGAGTGTCTAAGGCTATCGATATTAGTAATCACAAGGGACACATGATATCGGCGTTACGATTTCACAAACAGGGTTGCCAGGTCAAAATTTTCAAATTGCGGGAGAAATTTGATATTTTGCGGGAGAAATATGAAAATTGCGGTAGAAATAAAAAATTTGCTAAAAAAGCCCGCAAAATCCTGGCCGGGCCGGGTTTTTGAATTGACTTAATTATCCGCCTATTATTTTTTATAATTAGTTTATATAAATACAAATGCGGTAACTATTTTTTAAATAAAATAACATCTTGATTTATTAAAATATATTAATTTATAAAAAAGAATGTAAACAAGATAAAATTTTATAAAAAAAACAAACGATTTTATTTTTACAATGTAAAAAATATATTTTATGCAAATGTCCCGCAAAACATCCTGCAATTGGAAATCTACCTTGTGTGTGTGTGTATAATATTATAGGGATTGGCGCTTAATTATCACGTATCACATTTAAATATATAATAAGGTAATATTGTACTCATTTCAATATTATTTTATTTATTATTGTTCAATCACATTATTATAATCAGTGCAGGAGAGTGTATCTACATCCATTGCAAAACAAAAATATTCTCCAAAAATAAGAAATAATACAGATGCAACTACGGTTGCAGCAATTGTAATCACTTATCTTGTAGTACAACATTCACAGAGCTACTTATCAGTACAATGTAGGTAGAATCTTTCCATATAATATTTAACGACTCCGAGATAAATGAAAACATTACTTGTAGAACAAAAATGAGCAAGGATATCATCAATGTTTTAGAACCTGAATTCAGGGGGTCAATTCTTGACGATTTAAGATGGGCATACATATGCAATTCTAACAAATGCATCTAACAAGGGAAATATTAAAATATTTCTTTTGATCCTTCGCTATTTCAACAAAATTAAGGACGTTTCAAGAAAACTATTAAATTTTTTCCCCTCAAATAGTGAAAAATCCAAAGACATAGCTAACCATATAATGGTGAATATAGCAGATTCGGGATTATCAATAAATTATATGTCAACTTTCTGATCTGATAATGCCTCAGTGAATTTGGAAAAAACCAGAGTGTATTTACAGAATTGAGTCAGCACAATGTTGGTTGCGATATGTTCCTAATACCCGCCATCTATAGAATTTTAAAATTTTATAAACCTTTAAATATTTCTTAAATAAAGATTATAAAAGCTGTCCTAACATTTTGAAATTTTTTTTCAGTAATGAATGGCAGAGGTATATTTAGGAATGATTTCACATGTCGGAAATCTACTACATACTGTTAATGTGCAGTTGCAATCAGAAGAATCTTAACAAAGATTCACAAAATTTAGCTGCAGATGTGTTAATCTTTACATTTAAAAATTGACAATAAATTTTATGGCGCCATTGCTAAAACTATATTAAAATAAATACCGATAGACATTGATGACTTGTTTGAGGATATTATAATGCTCTCTATTTTAGATTTACAATGTAAAAAATATATTTATTTTATGCTAATGTATAAATAAAAAAATATGGAAAATTAAATATAATGTTAATTATATATTATTTGAGATTTAAATAATGGAACTAAACGCTTACCGTCGTTATTGAGATATTAATAGAATTCCAGGCATGACATATTATAAATTTGTTTAACCATTAGCTCGGCCTCTAATGTTGTTAAAGCAATCCTTTTTCCAGGCAGTCCTCATCAGGTTAAAAATGCGCTCGGATGAGGCATTAGAATAAGGTAGAAGACATACTCTTAATTTTTTTCCAAGCATGGGGATTTATTGTTATTAAGAAAAAATTCTACCCATTTCTCCTCTGCTTTTAGACCATCTAACTTTAAGTATTTTGGCGAATCATAAAAAATAGAGAGAATTACAATGTCCTCAAACAAGACATCAACGTTCGGTATTTTCAATATATTTATTAAATGACATAAACCATCAATTGTCGGTTTCTGTTTCAAGGTCGTAATATTTATACATTTGTAAATAGAGTTATTAAAATCAAATTTTGATCGTAAATATTCTAAGATTGTCTTAATAAAAATATCTGCTTCATTTAAAAATGTATTAATTAGAGTATTATTTGAACATTTAAAATTTTTAGCAATAGCGTCATAAAATTTATTATCAATTTTTAACTGTAGAGATGAATAGAGTTGTAGCATGATTTTGTGAATCTTTATTAATAAAGAATATTCTGATTGCAACTGAATATTAACTTCATGAAGTAGATTTCCTACATGTGAAACTAATCCCAAATATGCTTCTGCCATTTCATACTTGTAAAAAATTTTCAAAATTTTAGGACAGCTTTTAAAATCTTTATCTAAAAAGCATTTTTTTAAGGGTTTGTAAAATTTTAAAATTCTATCGATGGTAAGTATTAACTATAAGCACCTGACAGGTACATATCGCAACAACTCACAACATTCCAAGTCAGACCACTCCACCAACTCTTTTAATTCATTAACTCTTTTAGTTGCTGAATTAAATTTGTTAAAACATCTCATCATAATTATTTCGACATCCACAGATAGTACATTCATTGCCTTCTTGCAAGAATCATGTAGTATATGGCATATCTAGTCAATTGGTATTAATTCATTATTGTGCTGCCTCAATTCGGTAAATACACTTTGGTTTTTGCCAAAATTTACAAAGGCATTATCAGCGCAGAAAGCTGGTATGCAATTCATTGATAACCCTGAATCAGCTACATTTACATTATGTGGTTAGCTACATCGTTGGATTTTTCACTCTCCGAGGAAAAAAATTAAACAGTTTTATTAAAATGTTCTTATTCTTACTGAAAGAGCGAAAGATTAAGGAAAATGTTTTAATATTTCCCTTATTAGATGCATCTGTCAGAATTGCATATGGATGCCCATCTTTCAAATCGTCTAGAATTGACTTCTAGGATTCAGGTACTAAAACACTTGTGATAGCCTTGCTCATTTTTGTTTTACCACAAGTAAGGTTTGCACTTATATTGGAGTCGTTAAATATCATGGAAAAAAGATTCGACCCACGTGATAATATACCTCTGTGAATGTTTAACTGCAAGATAGGTGTATACGATTTCCGCAACTGTAGTTGCATCTGTATTATTTATTATTTTTGGAGAATATTTATGTATTGCAATCGATGTTGATATACTCCCCTGTACTGATGAATGAAATGATGTTGATTTATTATGGATAAAAATAAAATAGGATAGAAAGAAATTTACAAACTATACATGTTTTTCGAATAAATATTTAAAATTTATTTAAAAAATATAAAAATAATCAATTACTGTCTCTCAAAATTATTATTTATATATTAAAAACGTATAAAAACTTTTAAAAAAAATTGCGGTAGATTTTTGCGGGAGATTTCCAATTGCGGTAGTTTTGCGGGAGAGAGATGTCTGCGTGTAATTAAAAAATTGCGAAAGTCTCCCGCTGATAGGGGAAGACATGGCAACCCTGTTCACAAAACAAAGACCTATAGCTATTCTAAGTTCTTCATTGGTTAATATACAAGCCTAAATTAGAACTAGGTATAGTTTCTAACCATTTGTAGCCAGGGTGGCATATGACTGATTCTGGAATTCAATAGAGTCGTATTTTTGTCATTCTGTGTACTCGAAGTTGCGTTTAAGGGGAGAAAAGGCCATGGAGATTTTTTTTGAACAGCTTTGAAGTGTAGGTATTCAACGCAATGCTATATCAATGGTAAATTCCAGTCTCTTTGTCTTAAATTTGTATATGAGTGGCTTGGAAAATCTTTGCTCCAGAGGTTTAATGTTGCCATATGATGTGGATTCGATAATATCCAGTGTATATGGAAATTTAGCAACTTAGGATAAAAAGGCTGAATGGCTTCAAGATATGGGGGCATGGATACCTATACCACCTAGCTTTGGTTGAAGGGCAGCTTGCATGCTGAAGAGCGAAGAGAATTTGATATTTAGATTCGAGGGTATTTTTTATAATAAACCTCAAAATAATATTTCAAGGGACATGAAAATTGTTGATGAACGAAAGGCATGTAAAATTTTTGGAATGAATAAAAAATATTTATATAAATGAAAAGCCTGATGAGCAGGTAAATGTTTTAAAATATTTTTCATTCTATTGAATTTGACAAGAAATTCATCTCTGAAATGAAATATAACACTTCACCTCCAATGGGTGAACCTAGGTGGGTAAAGCTAGTTTTGTCGACTACAATAAAATTTCCAGGTGGGCAGTCCGGTTCAAAAATAATTTTTTTTTAAATTTATTCATTTAAAATTTTGTTTAAAAAGGATATGCAACAATAATATAATTTCCCGTCCAAATAGATTTTCTTTTCTTAAATTGTTACATTGCTTTAATAAACCTATTTTTTAATATTATATTTCATTACCTATTTAGCACATTATATTTCATATTTTATGCCCTCAAGTTGATGGTAATATTTATGGAATTACATATAAATGTATTTTTTTTTTAAATTTAACTAAATTACATCATAGAACTTAGTATAAGGAACGACAAAGACTTAGATTATTTAAAAATTAAATATTTTTTGAATAAACTACTAAATTAGTAATCATTACTTACTAATAAGAAAAATTTTCAGACCCAGCCCGGATTTTTTATAAATATATTATTTATTTTTGATTTTTATAGCTAATAATAGCGATTTTCAAATATTGGGTTTTAAAATATACGGCCTACCCTGGATATTTTTTTTAAAAAAAATTTCAGGCCCGGCAGTATATTTTAAAAAAAATTAAAAAAGTCCCGGCCTGTGTACCCGGGCTTAGGGCCGGGCCTGCAGGTCTGTAATAAATATATTCTATTTTCCGATATTTTTTTTCGATTTAATTATTTTATATAAATAAATTGTACATTTTCAAATAATTGATTATAATTATTATCCATATTTTTTTATATTAAATGAAAAATGTTTTTATAAATGATATATAAAGTAACTTATTATGTAACTAGTTACTTTTAAAATATAACTGTAACTAGTTATATTTCAAAGTAACTTTTAACAACACTAGAAATAGTTAACTCGATATTTCAGCCAGAAAAATATTCCCTAAACGCCAAAGTTTTGCTATAGATGTTCAAACATTTGTGTCATCTATACAAAATCTTTAGGCTTGTATAATATTTTTCCAGGTAAAATATTTAGTTAACCATTTCTAAAAATCATCCCAAATTGAGCCGTTTAATAACCCGGCTCTTAAACTACTTAAAGTTGTTTTGTAAAATAAAAAATTGTTTAATAAGTATTTATACAATTTTATTTCTTCTTCCCTCCATATAATTTTGATAGGATGATATTAATTCTGCAGTTGAATCAGCTAACAAAGCTTTTGAAATGGGATCTGAATGGAGAGAAACTGATGCTACCTCAAGAGCAATTATGATTAACAAATTGGCTGATCTAATAATGCAAAATTTATCATTGATTTCAGTAATTGGAAAAAATATTATTAGTTATTTTATTTAATTTGGCTAGACCCTAGAATCCTTAGATACTGGCAAACCATTTAAAACCTCGATTGAAGATGTTATATTATCTTGTAAGGTGTTGAGGTATTTTGCTGGATGGAGTGACAAAATATGTGGACGAACTATACCAGTTGGTAAAAAAAATTCACATTATATTTATTATTACTACATTTTTTTCTTAGATGGTAAATTCTTCACTTATACGAGAAGGGAACCGGTTGGTGTGATTGGTGCTATAGTTCCGGTAAAAATAATTGATATAATTATTTAACACAATATTTACTTTTTGCATGATTGTATGTTTAACCTTAATAATTGAGTATATTTTGTTCATTACATTTATTAACATAAATCATAATTATAAATGTAATATTTTTTTTGACATAAAATAAAACAGTGGAATTACCCTTTACTTCTAATGATATATAAACTGGCTCCTGCACTTGCCACTGGTTGTACAATCGTGTTTAAGCCAGCATATCAGACCCCATTAACGGCTCTTTACATAGCATTTTTCTGCAAAGAGGTTTATTTATTTTTATGATATATGGCTTATAATAATTAATTTTAACATAAGAATTGTTTTTTATTGAATTTAATAGCAAAATTTGAAGCCTTTTTTTCTTCATTGTTTTATTCATTTAATTTTTAGGTGGGATTTCCTTCTGGAGTAATAAATGTTGTGCCTGGTAAAGGAACCGAGGCTGGTACAGCCCTGGCAATGCATCCGAAAGTTGATAAAATTTCTTTCACTGGTTCCACTGAGGTACAAGATGCATTTTTTTTATTATTAATATAAAAAATTATTAAATATATTATGTTTTAGTCATTATTGTAAGTAATTAGTGGGCATATTCAAAAATTAATACAAATTTGATTGTGCATTATTAGTTTTATAATTAAGTATTCACGTGAATAATAAAATTTACTATTCGAGATATTGACAGAATTTTTTTTAATGCAATTCTAATTTTAAACATAAAAAATAAGAAATATATGTATTATAATGTTTTTTATGTGTATTATGGGATAATATATAATTATGTTTATTTTTATATTAATACGATATATATATTTGGAGTAGAAATGAAATAAAATAAACGTTTGGTCGAATTTTGACTATTTAGTTTTGTTTAATTGTTCTACTTTTATGAGAATTCTTTGGAATATCTATTTCAGGTCCATTCAATTTAGACCCTTTTTTACTTTTTTGGAATTCTTTGGGAATCTAATTCAAGACTTACATCATACTAAATAAAAAGAATAATTTAAAAATTTCCTTTGTTATAGCTTTTGAAAATTTGTAAGTATGAAAAAATCTACAATTATCACGCGTTTTTTTCTCATTTACATAGACGGGGATCTAAATAATAACTTAATAATTTTAATAAAACATTATTTTTGTTAACGATTTGAATAATGCATTTTTTTGTAACGCAAAAATGCAACAGAAGGCACTTATTATTCACTATGTAATGTTTAATTCAATCCCTTTAGTAGACAGTTTGGATATAAATTTATAACAAATTTATAAAATTTTTATAATTAGCTTCAAAATTTAAGATAGAACGAAAATACAGAAGCAATGAGGGTTTTCTATATTTCCAGAAGTGAAGCAGCAACTTCCCAGATTTTGTTGTAAAATTTTTTATAATAAGGAAATACACCTGGGTAGTTTTGTTAAACGGCTCGTTTTGAGCAGATTTTTAAAAACGGCTAACTCAATAATTTAGTCAGAAAAATATTGCCTAAGGCCTAGAGATTTCGATAATATATGTCTAGACCTTTGTTCTTACTATGAACAAAATCTTCAGGCTTGCTTAATATTTTTATGGATGAAATATTGAGTTAGCCGTTTTAAAAAATAGACTCAAAACTAGCCGTTTAATAACACTACACCTGGGCATCATCTAAATGATAAGGGGTAAGAGCCATTATCCAATATTTTTATGGGGTAAAGTCAAAATAAACAGTATTTGTACATTTGGGCAAAGCAAAACGATTGATTAAATAAAGTAATATATAAAAGTTATATATTTTCATTTTTTAATGCTGAATTAAATAACTCGATTTCACAATAAAAATCAAGGATTTTATCAAAAAACTGGGTTTATACAGAAAAACGAAGGTCTTAATATAAAAAAAATTAGCTGTGAGCCTTCCCAAATTTTTAATTTTATTTATCTCTAAAAAAATAAAAATTAATAATCCCTCTTTAATTTAGGGTAAATTACCAATTACTCGTCCTCGAGTTCATAAGTAGAGTTCTTGACTCTAGAACTTATTGGTCGACTAAAGAGACGAAACATAGAGACTCTGAATTGGAGTCGAATGAACTTTACTATTTAACAACACTAGTTATTGACATTCATTTGATCATTTGCATAGTAATTTCCAATATAATATATTCTTTATTAATTGGGCTTCATAATATGAGTATGAATGTTATAGAATTTAAATAAAATATTATATAATGTTGAAATTAAACTATATTAAAAAAAATTTCTCTAACTTTCTAATGCAAATCTTTTTTCAGGTAGGAAAAAAGATAATGGAAGCAAGTGCTAAATCAAATCTCAAGAGAGTGACTCTTGAACTGGGCGGAAAAAGTCCCACTATAGTTTTGGATGACGTTAATGGTGAATTCTTAATAACATTTTTTTATAGTTTCGTTTTTTTATACATACAAAAATATCGCCAAAATATTTTAAAACATCAGAATATATTCGTATCCTTCTATAGCTTATTTATCTATAAGCTTTATTTTTGAACCTTTCATATAAGTATAATCAGTTTATATCTCTTATTTTTAATCATCTTAATATATATTTTTTCATTATTATGTAAAAAAATCAAGTCAACGTCGCTGTCGAAATTGCCCAAGATGCCTGTTATAGTAATATGGGTGAATGCTGCTCTGCTGGTACTCGAACCTTTGTTCAAACAGAAATATATGAAGAATTCGTCCAAAAATCAGCTGAGAGAGCGCGCAAGCTTGCACAAGTCTTTGGGGACCCCTTTAACAAGAGCACTAAATATGGACCTCAAGTTTCCTTATATACTAAACGAAAAAAAACACTATTAAAAATATTTTTTCTAATAAAATGCTTATTTTTTTGCATGCTATTGTTAGTTTTCTCTTTGAGTTTCCTGGAAAATAAGAAAAATCTTATTGTCTAAATCATATTTTCTTGCCAAAAGGCCTTGTTTGTAAAATTAATAAAGTGGAATTTTGGTTATCACCAATATTGTTTGCCAAGCTATTAGCCCAAATATTTTACCACTTAACTTCTAGGCAAACTCAACTTGAACCCTTCGATAAATATTTTATGATTAAAACTTGATTAAGCCGTTTTGGAGTTAGCAAATATAAGAGGATTTAAAACATTAAATTTATTTTTGATGATTTTGAAAAAAATTGGTTTTCATTTAATAATATTTTTAAAATTAGTCTTCTATCAATAATTTTATTAAAACAAAATTATTTTGACACAGATCAGTGAAAAGCAATTAAAGAAAATTTTGGAAATGATTAAACAGGGTATTAAAGAAGGTGCAAAATTAGAAGTTGGTGGCAAGAGGAAAGGAGGCTCTAAAGGTTTTTATATGGAGCCTACACTTTTTTCTGGCGTTGAAGATGATATGAAAATCGCGACTGATGAAGTGATTTTTATAATAAATAAAATATCTGTATATCTAAAGAAATTAAATTGCTAGATTTTTATATTAGCTTTTAGTAAAATTATGAATACGCATCTACAAAAAAGAGATATTACTAAAATAAAAATTATTAGGGGTGTACCGATACTTTCTTTTGGAGGCCGATCCGATATTAAATTGATATCGGACGATTACTGATCTGATATCATATCTGATTTTGTATACTGTAAATATACTATTCGTTTTTATTTTATATGCATACATTTAGTGATGCAAAATCGTTTAATTTAAGTAGATAAGATTTTTTTTTAAAAAAAGGCTAACTCACTATTTTATTCAGAAAAATATTACGCAAGCCTGAAGATTTTGCTAATAGATGATACAAAAGTTTGGACATTTATTAGCGAAATCTCGAGACTTTGTAATTTTTTGGCTAAAATATTGTTAGTCATTTTTAAAAATCGGTACAAATGGAGCGATTTTGCATCACTACATACATCTACCCATTTTATATATTTTTATAGTATAAAATCTATAACTTAACTGTTGAGCTGAGTTCGATTTTAATATAATTTCAAAAATATATTTATTATTTTTCTTTTACTTGATATTGACCTTTTATTTTTTCCTTTTTTTCAAGCTCAACAACTTTCTTTTATTTTCAAGCTCAAACAATTTTAACGAAAAATAATAAACGAAAATGAATGCTTTATTTTTTTTTCCTTTGATTATGTATACTTGAAAAAATATATAATATATAAATAAAAAAAATAAATAACAAAACAAAGCAATACGTATAAAAACTAATATCATCACTAATGTAATATAATATAATATTTACTCCCAACTACGACATATAAAAACTAATATTATCACTAAAGTAATATAATAATATTTTCTCCCAACTATGGCACGCCATCCCTCAAGCTGTCATTCCACTGCCCCATCCGGATCGGGGCCTAATACGGACTCCAATTCCTCATTACTCACATTGCATTGGAGCCAATCCATGAACTCTGGTAGTACTCTTCCAACATTCTTGATTCCTCTTGACTTGCCTCCTCCGTCGCACCATCTTCTTCCTCTCCAGGCTCGTTGCCCCTCGAATTCGTTCCCCCGCCTCTTTATGGACTTGCTCCACCTCCCCATCATCCCATTTTCCCCCCACGCTCCGCATCTTTGGGCCACTTGATCTCCCCCAAACGTATTGCGGTCTCCCCCATCGATGGCAGGCTGTCTTCCGCTAGCTCATTTTCTCAGACGGATTGTTCCCATGTCGGACCCTAGCTAGCCAAATGAGGACACTGATGAGCTAGATATCTCCTTCTTCGACAGCTATAACACCTCCGTTTCTCCACTTGGATCGGTGCTCTCTGCCCGAACACGCAATACGTGTGGGGGAGATCAAGTGGCCCAAAGACGAGCGGAGCGTGGGGGAAAATGGGGAGGTGGAGCAAGTCCATGAAGAGGTGGGGGAAACCGAGGGGGCAACGAGCCTGGAGAGGAAGAAGATGGTGCGACGGAGGAGGCAAATCAAGAGGCATCAAGAATGTTAGAAGAGTACTTGACACCAGAGTTCATGGATTGGCTCCAGTGCAATGTGAGTAATGCGGAATTGGAGATCGTATTGGGCCCCGAATCGGAGGGGGCGGTGGAATGACAGCTTCAGGGATGGCGTGTCATAGTTGGGAGAAAATCTTATATTACATTACATTAGTGATGATATTAGTTTTTATATGTATTGCTTTGTTATTATTTATTTTTATTTATATATTTTTTCAAGTATATATAATCAAAGGAAAAAAAATATAAAGCATTCATTTTCGTTTATTCATTCATTTTTGTTTTATTATTTTTAGTGGGATTTTTTTCATTAAAATTGTTAGAGCTTGAAAAAAAGAAAAAAATAAAAGAAAGTTGTTGAGCTTGAAAAAAAGGAAAAAATAAAAGGTGAATATCAAGTAAAAGCAAAATAATAAATATATTTAAATTTCTGAAATTAAATTAAAATCGAACCATCGAACTCAGAAAATTATAATAAATAATTTTATATTTAAAAATTAAATAAATTAACTTATAGAAAATCCCATGGAAAATAATAAACGAAAATTAATAAAACAAAAATGAATGAATAAACGAAAATGAATGCTTTATTTTTCTTTTCATTTGATTATATATACTTGAAAAAATAAATAATATATAAACAAAAAAAAATAAATAATATACAAGAAAAATATAATTATGGATTTTTCTTTAACAACAAAGCAATACGTATAAAAACTAATATTATCACTAATGTAATATATATAATATTTTCTCCCAACTACCACATTAACATAAGTCATAAATATATTATAATGATCAGTTTAGTTTATATTCATGACTCTATAACTATATAAAAAATTTTATATTGAACGTTAATCTATTTACATAATAATTAACAAACAAATATATTATGAAATTGAAATAATTTTTTTTTAAATTAAGACGCCATTTTATCGGATCGGATAGTAAAATTTTATATTATTGCCCGATAACCAATATTTTAAAAAATATCGACCCGATCCAATAAAAATATCTGGATTCCTAAAATTGATAAAATTTAAGCCTACAAAATTAATTTATATAAATGATTAGATTTTCGGTCCAGTTCAACAAATTCTGAAATTCGATACTATAGAGGAGGTAATCCGACGTGCTAACAATACAAATTACGGACTAGCTTCCGGTATAATTACTAATGATTTGGACAATATGCTTTACATATCTTCAGCACTCAGGGCTGGCACCGTTTGGTATTTCTAATAATTATTTTATCTTCTTAAATTAATATATATTTAAATAATATAAAAACAAGGGGTTTTTAGAAAACATATGTGAAATAAAAAAAACTATATTCTTATTTTTTTAACATATTTATTTTAGGGGTGTACCGATACATTTTTTGGAGACCGATCCGACATCATATCTTGATTTTGTACTTCTGTAAACCCACTAATCGTTTTAATTATTAATTATACATCTAATATTGCATAATCGCTCCATTTGAGCTGATTTTTAAAAACGGTTAAACTCAGTATTTTATCCAGAAAAATATTACGCAAGTTTGAAGATTTTGTTCATAGATGATAGCACAAAGGTTTGGACATAACGAAATCTCGAGGTTTGGGCAACATTTTTCTGGCTAAAATATTGAGTTAACCGTTTTTAAAATTTTTCTCAAATGGAGCGATTTTGCATCACTACATACATCATCTCTTATACTTTTTGATAACACAAGTATTCAAAAATTATAATGATCAATTACAGTTCATTATATTCATGAGTATAAAATATTTCTATTGATAAATCACTTATTTATATAATAACATCAATCTATTAACATAATAATTTGAAATAATTTTTCTTTTAAATTAAGACGCCATTTTATCGGATCGAAAAATTTTATATCGACCGATAACCGATATTTTAAAAAGATTGAAATTTTAGCACGATCCTATAAAAAGGTTACATCCCTAATTAAATGTTTTTTATGCATGTTATTAATGTACAATTAATTCTATTAATAAATGTTAAGATATTATTAAAAATAATTTACTCTATCAGCATATTCATTAAAACATATTATACAGTCAAACCTGTTTAATTTGGGCACTGCTTGGACCAAGATTTGCCCAATTTACCAAGACTTTTTACTTTAAAAAAACGTGTTACAAATCCGAACTTGCTCAGGGGCTTAATGTTATTTGGGAGAGCGTAACAGGAATCAAGATAAATAAAATCTATATAAAATAAACAAAGGATTAATCTTAATAATAATTTAATTAATAAACACTTACTATTCACCGAACCTAAAATAATATGATATAAACTCCTTTAATTAATTTATTTTTATTAAATAACGGTATAACCTTCTTTTTTTTGGTAGAAGACACTGAATCTTTTCTTTCTATCAATAAATTAGGACTCTATAATAAACACAAAACAATTTCTTTTTTCTATGAAATTCCAACTGTATTTTTATTGAAATAATTGAACAATATATATATTCATTATAATCATTTGAATATTAAACATAATAATTTTTCGAAGAAATAAACATATAAAATAAAAATTCATCATTTAAATTAATGTTATTCCATAAAATATAAAAATGTAAAATCTATCTTTGCATATAACAAATATCAGTACAATTATTTTTTAAACTAAATTTGCATAATAAAACAAAACGCATTATACCATCTGTTATATTCTTAATTTAACTAAAAGTGAGATCTTGTTTTCAAATATTTCTTTTTATTAATTCATCAAAATCACGAGTAAAATTATTTTAAAATGGTTGCATACAAAAACGATAAAAAATTATATGAAATAAAATAAGATTTGTTTATTGGTATGGTGTAATATGTTTTATTTGCATGGCTTTTGATAATATCTTCTTTGGATTTAATCTTATGAACAGTCCTTTTAGAAATATTAAATCTTTTAGTGCATTCTTTTTGAGTATGATGATTTAGAAATTTAATAACCTAATTTTTTTAATTAACAATAACTCGTTTGTTTTCGTTATTTGATCACAAACAGTTTTAAGATGATAAAATTTTTCCATATAAAAACAAAAAATAACAAATGCCTACTTAGAGGTCTTATAAAGATGGGCAAATATCAAAAATTTGCCCACTTTTAAAATAGACCATTTATCAAGACATAATCTAATGATAGTTAATAGGAATTTGATTGAGGCTCAAAATTTTGGTCAAATAATTGCCGACAGGTTTAACTGTATTCAGCGTTTACATGGGGGGGGGGGGGGGGGTAGGAACAGTTTGCATCCAATTTTTCTTGAGGGGGTAGGGTACTTTAAGAAAGATAGGATTAATTTATGGGGGGGGGGGGGTATCTATAAAATTTTTAGATTAAATAGGACAAAATATATTGCTGTAAAAATAAATAATACTGATGATAATCTACCAAATATTGAAACAATCATAGACATTATTTTGCTAATAAAACTCTTTAGACATCCAATTTTTCTTGAGGGGGTAGGGTACTTTAAGAAGGATAGGATTAATTTATCGGGGGGGGGGGGGTTATCTATAAAATTTTTAGATTAAATAGGACAAAATATATTGCTGTAAAAATAAATAATACTGATGATAATCTACCAAATATTGAAACAATCATAGACATTATTTTGCTAATAAAACTCTTTAGACATCCAATTTTTCTTGAGGGGGTAGGGTACTTTAAGAAGGATAGGATTAATTTATCGGGGGGGGGGGGGGTTATCTATAAAATTTTTAGATTAAATAGGACAAAATATATTGCTGTAAAAATAAATAATACTGATGATAATCTACCAAATATTGAAACAATCATAGACATTATTTTGCAAATAAAACTCTTTAGACATTCTCAGTAAACTCATATTCATGCCAAACAATATGCTATAATAATGCACATTGTAAATGAGGGGGTTTTAAATTGAATTTATGATTTAAAGAATAACTTTTATATTCGCAATATTTTGATAGTTGGTAGTAAAGCTAAAATAATATTCGTTATTCTTTTTAAAATTTATAAAAAGAGTGCTAATATAAATTAAAAAGGTATAATTAATAATGGGAAAACATCGGCACCAAAGACGGCCGAAATTTTTTAGGAGAATTAGGCAGGGGTTTTTAGTGGGTTTGCATCTAGTGAAAATCTTGTCATGTAGACGCTAACTGTATTATATATTATAAAAGCGACTGTGATGGCGAATAATATTTTAAAACAGAATAAAAACTTGTTTTTTTCGATATTTTTTCACGAATTATTTTTCGTAATACTCTTTCTATTTTTCCTTATAAAAAAATATTTAACCAAGGGTGAATTGTTACCAGGAAATCAAGGTTCAAGCTCCGTTTGGGGGATATAAGGAATCCGGGTTCGGAAGAGAGTTGGGAGAAGATTGTTTAAACACTTACACCGAAGTTAAAACGGTGATTATCAAAACTAATAAAAAATTGCCTTAAATATAGGATTTTGGATTTATTTACCCACTTATATTTTTTTTATTGAAAACTGATTTTTGTCTTTTTTAAATGTTACTTTAATATAGATTTATATATCATATATTATTTAATGTAGATTTAGTCTGTGTCATATTAAAATTTTAAAAAATGTTTTGTATTTTATAAAAATTATAATTGTGCTATAAACTTTGTTTGTATTTTAAATATAGTATATAATATAAAACATATTTATTTACATTTAACAGAAACTTTAAAAATCGTGAGAGAATTATTTAAATCATGTTTTGATACGTCGTCGAAATAAAAGCTGATAAGGATCAATTAGCAGTGGTTGGTTTATAAGTCGACGCATTTTCTTTTCGGTTTGAGTAGATTTGTCTTGATTGCTTTTGTCTTTTACTAATTCGTATTTGCAGAGCAAATCATCGATCACCATTTTAATCATATTAGCCTTGACGCAATAGTTAATCCATACCTCCTTTGATATTGTCATAAAATAATATTTTAAAAATTATATATCGAACAGTAAAACAACACTACGATAGGATAATAAGTAATACTCCCATTTTAACTTGTTTTGAGGAGAGTTATGAGCTGCGAAGATTTGCTGAAGACTATTACATAAAAATAGATCGAGGAATATCGTAAAAATCAAAGTAAGTCTCAATACTAGCTTTGTTAAATCAACTATCTTTAGCTCATTCTCGAAAATGGTTTAGCAAAGTTTGTATCCTAAAAAAGTCAAGGTTGAGACTCGACTTATAGGTCTCAATTTTTTAGGGTAAAGGCTTGGCTAAACCCTATTGAAGTTAGCTAAGGTTAGGTGATTTAACAACTACTCGATATTTATCTCACGATCGAAACAATTATATTGTTGGATAATTACTTTATCTTAGTTGGTTACACTTAACTTAAATTTATTTTTTAAATACTTATTTTGAATAATGATTAAATTAACTCCACATCTCAGTTCTAGCGAGTATCCTTCACTACGTCGGTTTTAACAATTAGCCAACTATATCACCAGCAATTTAAATATGAGCATATATAAATAAGGAGTTTTTAGTAAAAGTCAATTTTTAAACAAAAATAATCATTAATTTTATAAAACATCAAAAAGAAAGTTTTAATTATACGCTAAGATGGGCCACCACATCGGTCAATGTCCTTTTGTCGTAACTCCATTTCAAATCAGTCAAACCTTCATATTCCGTTTCCCATAAAATTAACGGGTAATCGGGTGCCATGGCATACTCTTCATTAATCAACTTTAAAACCTTTACATTTTTATCGTTATCACATTTATTTTTTGTACATTTAATCGAATTAGGTGGTTCTAAGTTGCCTTTAACTATCAATGTTTGGTCAAAATTCGGGGATAGAATCAAGGATTCAATATAATCGGCATTTTTTCTTTCCGATCCTATGGTTAGTAAGGCGCCCATAACGCATCTAACTTGGTGCCAGAGAAAGGATGGCGCTTTTATTTCACATATCATTAGACTAGCTGTATTTCCAACATGTTCCCCCTTTCTTTTAAAATATCGTATTATATCGTTGAATTCGTAGATTTCAATCTCTCGAATGTGTCTCAAGAAATTAGTCACCCCATTTCTAGTATCCATTTTACATAATCGACTAAAATCGTAGAGTCCTATCAATTTTTTTGATGCTAACTTCATTGCGGCTATATCTAAATCCCAATGATTGTGTATACCCGTGATTGGGAAAATATATCTATATATTCTTTCAGTGCAATCAAATCTAGCACTTGTCTTAGAAGGGACAGATGCCCAGGAATATACTCTAAAAAAATTAATAAAATTTTAGAGTAACATTTTAAAATTAGAGATGTTGCAGGCCTATGCCTAATAAAATATATAATATTACCTGATATCATATGGCAAAACTTTGTTAAGTACATTGCAATAATCAATTTCTTTGATTTTCACTTGATTTTGTTCTGATGATATATTATTTAGATTTTCACCATCCCATGAATATATATCAGTTCCACACGGCAAATTACTTCTCACATCAATAGAAATTACTTGAGAATAAGCACTTACACCTGAAAATATTATTAAATATAATAGTGCGCACAAATTGAGTTTGTGTTTTGCTGTATTTTCTTAATAAAAAAACGTAACATCTTGTTTGAATTAAGCAGGATTTTTGATTTTATAAAAAAATGGAGTTTGTTAGAAAAAAATGTTTTGCCTTAAATTATAAAAAGTTATAAAAAAAGCAAATCAGTTTACGTTTTAAAATGATTTCTAGTGTCAAATGGCATTTTGACTAATTTCATGATGCACAGTTAGAATTAACAAAATTTCACAAAGAAAGAAAAGTGTCAATCATAAAATAAAAGTCAGATCAAAATGGGAAAATGTTAATCATAAAAGGTAAATATTCGATCAAAAATAAAAGTGTCAATCAAAAAAGGAAAAGTCCCAAAATCTTAGGAAAGAGTCCTATCAAAAAAGTGAAAGTGTCAAACAAAAAAGGAAAGATCCAATCAACAAAGAAAAGTTCTCATTCAAAAAAAGGAAAATTGTTATTTTTTTATATAATTTTAATTTTTACTATTCCTTCTAATTTTATTTATAACTTTTTGCGATTTCTTTCATCTTTATTTATTATCTTTATTTTTCTTCTCATTTTTGATAATTCATTTTTGTCTTTTAAAAAATAATTTATAATTTTCCGTTAACAATTCTTTCCTCTTTTTTTCATCCTACATAACAATATTTTGATTTTTTCTCCTTATATTGTTATCTTTTACATATTTCTAACTTTTTCAAACTCTTTAAGTCATTTTTAATATTTATATTTCTTATCCTTTTTCAATTTATTTTAACTTCTCATTTTTGATCATTATTTTTCGCATTTTTAAAATAATTTATTTATTTTTAATTTTTATTTCTCATTGGCAGACAATTTAATTACAATTATATGATTTATAATATAGTAAGAAATAAAAATTTATATCATTAATGATTTCCCCTCTTCTACATTTTGGAATATAGGTCTTTATATTTCTAAAATAATTCTTTGCATTTTCCTCAGATATACCTCTCTCTACATGCTCTATTAAACGAATTAATTTCTCCTCGTTATTGGGATTTTGACGGACAAAATTATTCCATAGAAAAAACACATTTCCAATGGAATTAAGAAAAGAACTGTAGGGTGGTAAATATTTTATTGTATGCCCTCTTCTTTCTATCAGTTCCCTAATTGTATAGTTATAATGAAATAGAACGTTATCCATTACAAAAATCATATTGATCATGTTACCTTCTTCAAAAAAGAACTTTTTATCTTGAGAAATATAGCAATGCCTTTCTTTTGTTTGGCAATAGCTTTAATTCTTTTATAATTTGGGCACAAGAACTTAAATAAAATAGTTAAATATATTTCTAGCTTTTGATAAAATCTGATGCCCTAAGAAGAGGGATTTGATGATGAAAATGAAAACAATTACAATAGCTGATTTTATACAAGCCCCAAGGTGGGGTGATTGTTTTGTAAGGCAAAATTTGTTACGATAAAAACAGGGTTGAGTGATTAATAACTATATTAAGTGTTGCTTGGAAACTTCCATTCCATATGGTTAGAAGTGCCAAATTTCAGATATTTGCCTTTTTAGAATATATCCTGTTCAAGTTAAAGTTTTGGGAGAAGTGTGATTTTTCCAAAAAAGATTGATATTTTATATTTAGTAAATCTCCAATCATACCCTCTTTCCGTTTCATTTATATAATTATCTAAAAGCATTATGAAACATACTCCTTGTGTATGCTACTGAATATATCTTATTTTTTTATAAGAAATTCTCCTAAATTATAAAAAATAAACACTACTTTATAAATAGAATGTTACATTTATCTAAATTTATAAATAAAAGTATAAGGTCAGCTTAGCCAAAAAGATTTTTAGGCCAGACCATACAAATTGAATAAAATATTTTGAGGACTAAAGTTTTAAATTTAGTTAGATAAATTTATGTAATTTTAAAAAAAAATAATTATTAATGGCAGAGTCAAAATACTTATAGGCCATGTCAAAAGGTATAATAAATAATATTTCATATAAATATATCAAAATATATATCATAGTTCTTATATAATAATACCTTATCAAATATAGCTACCTTTATCAGTTCTACCACATCTATGATAATTTGAATTCTGACGTGATTCAATTAGTTTAGTTTTTAACAAAGCATTAAATATTTGATTTTCAATTGTATCTTCAATATTATCCTGCACAACAAATCCTAAATAAAAATATATAATTAATATATAAAGTAATTTACCTTTATAAGCCCATCCAAAATAAAGAATCTTTAAAAAAATATGTCGCTTGGTATAGTTCCTAAAATTGATATCTTTTTGACTGATTTTAGTATTCTTACTATCATTCTTAGTTCTGAGCGTGATTAATTCTGTCTCAAGTTCTAATATTCTAAATATTTTTGTTAGGAAAGTTAATTATACATGATACTTTTTAATCAAGTCAATTTTATTCCATCTTTCATATTTTTCCATTTGGTTTTTTTATAATATCAATTAATTAAAAATGACAGCCTATTTATGCATTTTAAACAGCATGTCAATTTCTAAGATGAAGGCATGTAAATTTTTGAAGAAATCAAACGATAGCAACTAGCTTGGAAATCCGGGAACGCGACTCTCTTAGAAACCTGCCCTATATGGATACCAAATTTTAATATCGTAGAAGATACATTTTGGCAAAACGGCATTTAATTAAATTTATGGAGAATACAGAACATCGAGGATGTTATTAATATTATAGATGTAGATATTGATGTTAAAATATCATTCCCTACTTATGAAATAGAAAGGTTATTGAGCGCGAAAACAAGATTCTATAAGATTTCTGGCCAACAAAATGATGAAAGAAATTATGGATGTGTCATAGCCTAAATAAATTAACTTCAATATAATAACTTATGCTTGCCTCTATTTGATATTTTAGATTAAGGTTGAATACCAGGATACACTTCAATATTGGAAGGATTAGAAAACTCAACCTAAAATTTCTAAACTTACGCAAGTGTTCTCAGCCAAATAGGTCAGCATGGAAAGATTTCCTTCAATAAAATTTATGCTATCACCATATAGATCTAGAATAAACAATATTTTATCAGAAATTATATTAATTATAAGCTTGAATAAGCTTTTTTCAATAGATGCATATATTAATTTGTATATATTTATTTTATATAATTTACTATAAAGACAAACTATAAAACTAAATTTGTTTAAATTTTGAAATAATGATTTTATTTGCTAATTTTTATATATATAATAAACACTCAAAACTAATTCAATTTATTTGAACTGAACCCGCTCAGAACCCATTTTTTACCAAACCTGAACCCGTCCCTTATTAAAATCTAAACTTGAACCCAATCCTGAACCCGGTAAATTAAGAAAAGGTTTAAATTTATAAAATGTAAAAGTATATAAACCTTATTCGTCTTATAAAAATTTATTAAGGCCAATTTTTTTAAAAAATTTAATATTATATTTTGTAACTTAAATGTAGATTTAAAAAAAGAAATAAGAATATATTTACTGTAGCACTCAGTAGAGAATAAAATTATTTTTGTTCGGCTTTTCTGTCTATATATATTATCGAAGAGGTTTAAGCCAATTTTGTATATATACTATTAAATGTTTACATATAACTGAGTCAGCTCCGCTATTTTGCGGTTTGCACGTCAATTATCATTATATGATGCATATTAATTGGCCTAACCACTAAATCGCGCTTCAACTGACTCCTATCTATGTTCCTTTAAAATGTTTAAATGAATGAATCGCCAAGTAATATATACATAATTGGTTTATGCTTAGACCCATTTATTGCAGAAAATTTCACATATCGAATAAATATAATTTTAAATATTAAAATGCATTTTTTCGAATAATTTATGTTCATTATTTTAAAAAATTACTAAACTATATTATTTTTCATTCACAATTTATTTGCTGAATTGAACGAATAATTTTAGGCTGACGGGCATATATGATATTTACGAAACAATCAAATTTTCAAAATTAGAAAGTGCGCTTCTAACACCTTCTCCTCCTTATCTTCCTTCAACTATCCTTTTTTTGGGCCTACCATCAACCTATACACGAGGTTTGTCTCAGAAAAAAACTCACCGAAGCGCAAGACCTTTATGTGTAAATTTTTTATTTCTTTATAAATAAATTAATAACCATTATTAAAATAATTATATAAAAAGAAAGGGCAATATTAATTTACTAGTTATTCAATTAATTTTTCATAAACATCAGAATAAAATAACAAATATATAAAATAATTTACAGTAAAAAATATTAGCTTGGCGTGGAATTTTTTAATGGAAATGCAATTTTATCTGCACTTCAAGAAAGTGTCTTTGGACTAAGCTATAGATTTTCATAGGATCCTTTATATTAGGGTTGTTTTCTACCACCAAGATTCGTTGAAATGAGAGATAAAATAAAGATATTTCTTTAAAATGATTATTATATTCAATAGAGGTCTCTTTATGGAAATTACGTGCGTTACTTAAAAAATATATAATTCCAAATAATATTTAAGCCTTGTTTAATAGATACCCCCCCCCCCCCCCCTTTAAAAAAACCCCCAATAATTTTAACAACACAATGATAAAAATATAATTCTGTTATACAACTTTTTTATAAAAAATATATCTCCTAATAATATGGAAAAAAACCGATATAATCCAGTCAAGTAAAACCTGTTGATTGGTGAGTTGAGATGATCATGCGCACTACATATATAATAAATAAGTTATGTAATAATATTGTTCAAAATACCCCCATATTCATTTTAGAGGGTTTATTTATTGTTTTTAACAAAAGTTGATAACTAAGAACTTTTGGGATTATCAAATCTAAAAATCAGCACCTCAACAAAAATTATTAGTGACCAAAGAATTCCAGAACCGACGTTTTAAAACATTTAGAGTAGAATTTTTTTTTCGTTCGGGTTCCAAACTGAAAAATTGGAAGTAATAATATTAGCATTATTTAGGCTTTATTAAGATATCTTATTAATTGGTCTATATAATTGATTTACTAACAAAATAAGCATGTTTTTAATTATTATTAATATTCTAAAAACCATTTTAAGTTATGTTATTGCTTACCATCTAATTACTTTTTAAGTTTTAAAAGTCAATTATTTTTCAAGATTTCTAATGCTCCAAAACTTAAGCAATTACCTCTATAATTCCTTACGCTTTTAATATCATATATTTAAAATAATATTTAAACTCTAAGTGTGTTTACATTACACCACGATATATATATTTATAATTATATAAAATTATTATAAGCTATTAAATAATTTTTAAAGATATAGCTACATAACACTTCATGATTCATAATACCAATCCAACGATATTAATCTATTTATTGTGTTCAATTTTTTTTTATTAAATATAATTTTTACCATTGTCATATCACAATTTTACAATGTTATATATTGCATTTTAATCCTTACATTATATTCCGTTATATAATAACAAAATAAAATATAAATATATTTGATAATAAAATTCGAAATGTTATAGAATGATACGTGGTATGTGCTAGAGATATATCATCTTCCGGGAGTCGCATAAATACTTCTGATAACTTAAGTACAGACAACAAAGGATCCTTCATTAAAATGAGGTCTTGATTATTAATTTGTTCAGACAATCTTTCAATTGATTTTAAACAGTCCTATTTTCGTATTTATGAATAAAAAAAATTTTTTAAAAAAGAAATTATCTCTTTGAATATTAAATAAACTACTTTATCTCTATATCGTAGTCCCTTGGAATTTATTTGCATGGCTAGTTTGGCCTCTATAACAACATTGTCAGTAAACTTTTGGAAAATTTCTAAATGGCAACGAGTCTATTTAAATATTATATATATATATTGAAATTACAGTTTTAAGATAATTATTTAATTTGTATTATTTCATTATATACCTACATTATTATAATGGTTTCCAGATCCTGTTACGAGATTTTTTTGCAGTCTCGGAATTAAATCATCATAATTGTCATGTGTAACTCTCTCCAATAAAGAAAATTCTTGACTACTAAATCCGACGGAGATGAATAACCCTAATTTTAATTGTTTGTATAGGGCTATAATTTTGTATTTCACCTGTATCATTTTGCTGAAAAGCGAATTTATCGGGATCTGGTTTAACACATAAAATTTTCCCCATAAAACATAAACAATATCCACGAAAGGCTACATATGTAGGGGCACCGTGCCCTATTAAATGACAAAATATTATTTTCTATATTTGTTCTCATATAAAGAAAAATTCATTAAATTGTCAAATATTTAAAAAATAAATAAAAGGAAATAATTTTGGTTATGTCATTGCCAAACATATTTCTAAATATTACCATAAATTGCAAATTTTCTTATGCAGGGTGTAGCTGGTAAGCAGGGGATTATGATGCATTGAATATAATTTTCTCTCTCACAATGACACAATTTGGAACAATCACGTTTTTGAGCATAAACCTATTACAGTAATAAACACACAAATAGATAGATATAAAATTTTATCTTTACGTTTTTGGAATATTTGAAATATTTAAATTTAATGGAAAAAATAATAATAATTTATATTTAAAAATAATAATTTATATTTAAAAATAATAATTTATATTTAAAAATAATAATTTATATTTAAAAATAAAAATTTATATCCAAATTAATAATAAAAAAGATATCTCGTCATTTTTTATAATGTACCTTTAATAATTTGCCTACATATATAATTTATAAATTAGGCGAGATAAACTTGTTTTTTTATTGATGATAGAAATAGGAGCTAAATTAAAAGAGTAAGGCTGAGGATGAGAGAAACCTTCATATTTCTCCGTTCTTATAACCGTATATTATAATTAAAAGTCTTTATAATTATCTGTGTATAGTACGTATATTAAGAATTTAGTTTAAAAAAATGATCAAACAATATATCTTGTAACTCATTGTGCAACGAAGATTTTACCTTTCACCTGAGAGCAAAATAACTACGTTTAAAAAAGATAGCATTTATTATGAAAAATAAATATTTTTTTTTACCTATTGATTTTGGAACAAATCCATTTTAAAACGTGCACAAATATGTAAAAATTGATCATAGATGATTTGTTATTTTTATTAATAAACTGTTTATACTGAATCCCCACTTCAAAATATTTCTTGAAATATTTTATCAATAAATTTATAAAATTTTTATTTAATGATATATTAACTGTATTTAGATTGTGCCATAAAATTGCGTTTTAAAACGTAAATAAAATTGCGCAAAAGATGTTTAATATTCTATAGATGTAATAAATATTAAATTCATATTACCCGAACTTTTGCGTCAACAGGAATGTAAATAGTTTCACTATCTGGGTGAATTTTGAGTGAACAATTATGAGCTAATGTAAATAATAGAGATAAAATATTTTCATAATGTCAAATATTTTTTATTTGATTAAATTATAATATATTAATTTATGGTTCAACGTTTTAAGAAATAAATTACGTATCATTTCTTGAGTAACTTGAGTTAATTTAGTCGTGAATGGAGTGGTTTGGCTTTGAAATACTAATGGAAATGTTTTTGTAGTCTTTATCGGATTTAAATGATAGGATTTTACGGTGTGATCTAGATTAACATATATATATATATATGACTATATATTATAGATCTCAATAGAGTTTTTATATAGAATAATTTATATCATAACGGGATACAGAATCACAACGAGGAAATTCGGAATTTCAAATCCCAAAGTTTGGAATCTGTTAAAAACCATGTGGAATTGGATGCGGAATTTTTGACGGAGGGTGTTGGGAAGAATTAAGTGGTTTTAAATGATTGCTGCTTCATCTATATTATGATCGGTTAAGGTATTAGTTAGATGATTGATTATTGACTGGCAAGTCGTGAAGATGAGAATCTACTTATTGGGAGGGCCATTGAAGACCGTAGGTTGATTCTTCCAGTATGTGTGAGGCTTGCTTGTGTCAAAAAACTGTCGCCAAATAAATTGAGAAATTTCCCGGAAAACGCCGAACTTTATTTTCGAGATTTTATTTTTAGGCCTTTGGTAATTTAAAGATGGCGATAGAGCGTAACGCATACAAGATTATTTTAGATTCCTCTATTCGCCAAAGAGATTGAGATACTCTCATTAAAGCTCCGTCGATGACTTTAAGTTGAGTCTTCTGGAGATTGATGTTATATTTTCTCATTTGAGGAGCGGTAATGACTACAAATTTCTAAGAAAATTCCCTTCAAAAATTTAGTCCTTCTTTTATCTGATGAAAAAATTTGATAGATAATAGGCCTAAGACTTAGCTGTAAGATTGTGATACCACACATGAAAAAATTGCCGATATAGTCTTTATTGCCAATTCCTAGACCATTTCCCTCGGCATTCTCAGTGCATAAAAAGTATTAAAAGGGCTTTAACTTATAACTTATTCTACAAGGATTCCTTCCAAAGCCTAATGGGCTCCTTAGGATTTATGGAAAACACCCCGACACATAATCACATATGGACCAGTGGTTAATTCTTAAATTAGGACTCTCCTCATCTAACATAAATAAAGACTCACTCTTCGCAACTTTAATATTACAAACCAATAAATACATTCAAATCTATTCTCGTGATGTTTGATATGAATATTCTTGAACTAATTAGGGAAATTCTCAAGTTACATCACTGAGAAAACAGATAAACCATGTGAAGATTACTACCTACTACAAAGCTTGCCAAAAACATTTCCGATCACATTATTAAACTTCATCTCGCCACTGGATTGATAATAAAGATATGTATGCTTTTTTATATACCTTTTTAAAAAATATTTAAATCCTCAAAATAAAAAATACAAAAAATGGTTTTTATATTTTATTAGATAAAATTTAACTCAAAGTAATGCTGTAACGCTTTTAAAATTGGAAATAGTTTGATAAATTTGGTTTTAGATAGGATATAATTTCTTAGTTAGTAAATTATTTTTAGGATAGTTTGAAATTGATAGTGCCAATTTTCTTTAGTCCATTAATGGAATTTATTTTAAACAATTTGTCATTGGACTAAAAAAATTCAGTTTGTTTAAAATAACTTTTTTCCACTCTTAAAGTAAAGAAGATTAATTCTATTCATTTCAAACTACTCTAGATGGGCTTTGTAATACTTATCTTCTAACCAAAACTGGCCAAACGTGGAGTAATAAAAATTCTCACTATGGATTTCAAACTATATTAAAAGATTTTTTTAACATTGATCTAGTGACAAACATTTATCCGATCCAAAATTAAATTTATTAAAATTTTTTACATTTTAAAAGCGTTTCAGCGCCACCTAACGTTAACATGTTATAGACAACTTTTTATATTCAGGTCATAAACTAAAAAAATTATGTCAATTAAGATTTAACAACTCTAAATTTATATTTAAAATAATAATTTGATAACCATTTTTTAAATAAAATAATTGTCCAGGTTCATTCAAAGATTATGATTTTCATTGAATCAATAAAGCCTAACGAATGATCAGTCTAAAATGCCGCCTTTATAATCATTTTAAATCCTCATGATTTTTAACATTCCAGAAAAAAAAGAAATTGGTACTCCTAATCCTCATAGTATTCCAGTACCACACGTATAAACTTTTTAATATTCGTAATATTCAAAAATATCTTAGTCATTCAATGATTAATTATACAACATTAAATTAAGGGTTATAAAAAAAACCTATGCATGAGTTATTAACCATAACGCTAAAATAATCCATACACCGAATTTTTGCGGTTCCAGTGTATTCCTCGCAGGAACATTTTCTGAGCATCAAGTCGCTCCCTTTAATTTTGATTAAAGTCTTTTGACATAATCTCTCGTCCTGCATGCACTGACCCTTATCTGGATTAACCTTGCAGCCGACCTCCAACTCAGCCAATAGTTTTCTTCCGATTTAGTACATCATCACATATAACATAACAAATTTAATTATATGATTAAAGTATAATATAAATAAATATAGTATAATGTTTTTGGTAAGGTGTTTAACAAATCTTCGTATTTTTTAGCAAATTTTTAAAACTTAAATTATTTACAGCACGTGTTTATTTAAAAAATATTTTTGAACGATCAATTTGCCGGAATCGTAATTTCAGACACTTTTGTGGTGAGCATTTAGGCCACTCCTTAATTTATATTAATTTAGGAATTTAAGATTGTGGGAAATTTACATGGAGTTACTCTATACCCTGCTGAAATATGTTTCAGACAAATCAAGTATTTCATTATGTTAAAACTTCCTAAAACATATATGCTAAATAACTATATCAATTTTAAACTTGCAAGCGGAAGAATTGGCACAACTCTCGTACATTTGGGTGCAAGTGATTTTAATAGATGTTATGAAACCACATTTGAAATCTAATTCCTCCTTAAAAGTGTTGCAGGCGGTATCCTTAGGTGAACAATGACAAAATGCCATGGCATAAGTAAAATAAGGATCTATTTGGTGATAAAATGTGGCCGTCTTTTCTTTACAAATTTTGGGGTCGCATGAACCGATAGTTGAACATTCCGATAACATTTCATTCAATTTAGTTTTGCATTCGGTATCTGCGATGCATTCTGAATGCATTTGACTGCAATCTATCTCTTCTATTATTAAATTTGAGTGAGATATATAGTGTTGTTAAAGGCCGTTTTACCGATTTTACGCAACCAGTATTTCATCCAGGATAGTATACGCAAGCCGTTTTTAAAAATCGGCTCAAAACGAGCCGTTTAACAACACTAGATATATGGTATGAATATAATCTGAAAAATTTATTACAGGCCACTTGATCGATAAATAACAATATTTATATTTAATACTCATTTTTTTTTAAAAAATTTGCTTAAAATAAAAGCGGTTATATTATTTATAAAATAAACCTATTTTTAAAAAAATATATTATATAAACTAGTGCTATCCCATTCATAAGTGTTTTAGTGGGATTAGTTGATAGGGTCAAATCATCGAGAATCAGTAAGAAAAATACGTTTAGAATAGATGAGACTACTCCGAGTATAATATTAAATTCGTTTAAAATTAAAACAAAAAATTTTACCCAAAAATTTATAAAGATAATAACTTCTGAGATAACAACCCACCCGACCTACTAAAAAAAATCACCATTTTGACTTTGTATAAAACAAATTTTATTTATTCTAGTATAATATAAATTTAGTTACGAACATTTTTTTAAAAAGGTATAAAATATTAAAATTATAAAAATTATTTTGATCAAGTGACTTGTCACAATGATCTATAATTAAGCACATTGAAATTTAGCATTAAATATTAAAATGAATACTTTTCAAGGGTTCATTGATGACGATATCTGATATAGCCTTAGCAGTAGTAGTTTCTTTTATATCAAAAATGGTTGTCATTTTGGTTGAAACATCGCTTAAACTTGGAACATTTTTAATGTCACTAACGTTTACGCCTACATTAGCAGTAGAAGAGACAGTCGTGGTCGTTATTTTTATTGTAGTGCTAGTCGTTTGTACGGGGTTCTTCACGTAATCTAAGGCTGCTTCTTCTAAAATTATGTTGCGGTTCATTTTGAAAATTGTTAATTTAATAGAAAATATTACTGGCAAAATTTAGCGTTTCGTTATTTATTATTTACAAAAATATTTTTAAATTTTATACAAATTTTGATCTTTATTTGCTGTTGAGAAAAAGATACGGGCAAAAAAAAATTTTTTTTATATATAATGTATTATAAGCCTTTTCATTAAATTTTTTATTAAAATATTAAATATCACGCTAAAGGAGGTGGGAAATGTCATGAAAAGTAATGGTGAAAAAATGCGGGGGGGGGGGGGGAGGGTGTTTTTTACAAATTTATATTCTTAGAATTTCCGTTTTTATTTAAAGCCATTAAATAGGAACCACAAAATCAAATATATTCAATTATTTTCATTTTTTTTATAATTCCATGAGATTTTTAGGTGCAACCGGTATTTATGTAATGGGTTTCTGAGACAATTTTCCTTTTTTTGGAAAATATTTATTTTGAAGTATATTTAATTAAAATATAAGTTCCAAACTGTGACATTTTTTTAAACATTTTATTTGCCTCATAAAGTATTATTTCTCAAACTTGTAAATTTCAAACAAAATATATGTTCATTTAAAAATTTGTAAAAATATCATTTCACAAGTTACGAGTTTTTAAATATACAAAATTATACTTAAAAGGTTTAAAAATGAAATTCTAGTAATAAAAAAAATAAATATTATGAAGTAAATTACCTAAGCAAGTGTTTTCGAATATAATCTGATAAATATCCAAGCAACTCGATTTGATGCTTTCGTCAAGATTAATGGAAGGCAAATCACAGGTACAATTTTTAACCATTAATTCGGTGCCCATTAAACCTACTCTCGCTTCTCGGCATTTACTTGAATCTTCTTTACATTTACCATCGGTGCTTGACATCTTGCAATATTGACGATAATTTGCGAAATTATCTCTATTTTCCATAATTTTTTTAAAAATAGTTATTTAAATTTTTAAATCTAAACAATATGATTTTCTTAAAAAAAAATGTTTTCGACATATAGAATGTCATTTAACAGTAGTGATAATTTTTTTCTTCTTCTAAAACATAAACTAAACCCCACACTAAGATATAGAGTTTGAAAAAAAAACTTCAAAAAATTAAATTTTGAGTAAGAATCTTTGAAGAATTTTTTTTTAAAAAAAAGAGATATTCTTGAATTCTACCTAAAAAAATGTCTCTTTTATGAGTAGATCTTTTGTAATTTTCACGCATATAAAAAAAAAACTTTCAATATGAAATCAAAGATGTAAAAATTAAATTTTCAAAGATTTTTGCTCAAAATTTATTATTAAAACTCTGCTATGATGTAGGGGTGGGACCAATACCAATATAATATTGGTTTACAATACCAATACCAATATAAACCAATATATATATAAATATTGGTATTGCTTTTACAACCAATACCAATACCAATTACCTAAATATATTGGTTTTGATATATTGTTTAAATACAATTTTAACCAATACCAATACCAATATTAAAAATAACATAATTATTTGGGTTTATCGTGAATAATTATATCGTGGTATTTTTTTTACTTTCATTGCAAAAACTGATTACATCTGTTATTTCTTCCAAATACTACTGTGATATCAATATTTCTTTTATTTATAATTATAGTTTATTTTTATTATGGAAGTAAATTTTTTACATGATATCTATCAATTTTATTTATTTATTTAGGATATTATAATAAATGAAGACCAAATAGAGTTAATAAATAATGATGCTGTTGGTACTAATAATAATAGCGATAATGAACAAGAAGAATTATCAATATCTAATAAAAGACGAAATTCAGCAAAAATCTGGGAATTTTATACTACTTGTGATAATAAAAAAAGGCAATTTGTAATAAATGTAAAAAAAAATATCACTTCTTAATTTTGGAACCTCAGGATTATGGACACATCTTAAATCCATCCACCCAACATTATATAAGAAATGTGAGCAAATAAATATTGGCAGTAAAAAAATCAAGACAATAAAATCATTTTTACTTAATAATATAAATAATAAAGCTAATTTAATTATAAACTTTTTCATTCAAAATAATTTAGCCTTTTCAATAGTTGAGGATATCACTTTTAAAAATTTAATAGCATACTAACATTAGTTTCTAGAAAAACGCTAAAAATAGAAATTATGAAACATTATCATAGTTCTTTTATCAATTTAAAATCTGTACTTTCTAACATTACATCTAAATTTTCCTTAACAATGGACATTTGGTCCTCTCCAAATAAAATACCCTTTTGGGCATAACAATTCATTATATTGATAATGATTTTAAATTAAATAATCATTTATTAGATTTTATTCCTTTTAAATCAGCACATAATTCTATTAATATTTTTAATTCTGTATTAAAAGTAAAATTTGAAATTTTTTTTGCATTACATCAGACAATGCAAGTAATAATTTAGCATTTCTAAAAATTTTAAAACAAAAAGATAATTTTGATAATGTGTGCAAATGCTTTTGCCATATTATACATTTGGCTGTCATGGCTGCATTGGAACCCTTAAATACAACTTTAAAAAAAATAAGAAATTTTTAAAAAATTTTTAAACTTTCTAATAAACTCGAAAAAATATATCTTGAAAAAAATCCACACTTAAAATTTCCTCACCCAATTTTGGATATACCAAGTACCAACACGTTGGAATTCAACATACCAAATGCTTGAAAGAACAATATTGCTCAAACCCTATTTGACAACATATACCAATCATTTACAAAATACCAATCAAGAAAATTATATTAGTGCCTTAGCCTGGAATAATATAGAAATAATCCGAGAATTTCTGGAACCATTTAATTTTGCTACAGAGATGGCCTCATGTGCTAATACTCCAACAATTTCAACAATTATTCCTTTATATTCCAGTATTTTTGAGCATGTGGAGAGTTATAATAATAATCCTAATGCTATTTTAAAGACAGCTTCTTTAGCTGCCTTAACAAAACTTAATAAATACTATAATTTTAATAAACACCTCTTTATTATTTCAACAATGATTGACCCAAGATTTAAACTATCAAGTCATTTATTAAAGCATAATAATATGGAAACTCTTATTGGATATCTTACTAATGAATACAATATTTATAAAATAAATAATAACAATTCAGCGGAACTTACAAATGAAGCACAAAATAACAAAAAATTGTCCTTTTATGACAAAATTTATCAGGTGAAACATCATAATAATAACAACTTAGAAATAAGTAAATACGTAGATGAAGCCACAATTTCCAATGATACAAATCCATTAGATTGGTGGAAATTAAATAAAAATAGATATCCAGTATTATCAAATATTGCCAGAGATTATCTAGCAATTCAGGCCACCTCATCTAGCTCTGAAAGGGCTTTTTCAGAAGGACGGTGTTATAACAGACCAACGTTGTTCACTAGATGAGCATACTATACAACCTTGCCTGTGCCTAAAAAGTTGGATGCGCATGCAAGATTCTTCTTAAATACATAAAATTATTTCCTCTTATATTAAAATTATATCATTCTTTTGCATTATATTTTATATAAATAGACAGTTATGTTACATTTTTAGTTTACTTATTTTGCTATGTTCTTTGTGATAAATAAAATGGTTCAAAATCAATACGTTTATTATTGTTGATACAAAAAATACATGATTAAATTAAAATTTTTTATATTCACATCACCTAATAAATTCCTAGTTTAAAAAAGAATTTGAATTCAGTAAAATTTTGAGAGTTGGTTCTTAGCCCTGATTTTATGGTATCATGATTTTTTTCCCCATGTTTATCTAAAATTAGAAATTAAGGGTTTTATAATCACTATTTCTATTCTTTTAATTAGTAATTTGAATATAAACCAATACCAATATAAACCAATAGTTACCAATATAAACCAATACCAATAGCAATACCAATACAAGAAATAGAAAATATTGTTTAAACCAATACCAATATTTTAGACCCAATACCAATACCAATACAATATTTTGTTAATATTGGGTTTTTACTATTGGTTCCCAGCCCTACTATGATGTGATAAAAGAAATATGATAATTTTTTTAAACATTTTATATTTTAAGAAAACTTGCAAAAAAAGTCGAATTCGCACAATCTTTTGACTTCAAGACATGAGGGTAATCCGAACTCGTTGCTTTCCCCACTTTTTTCCGAGTCCGCGTCTTTCATATCACTGTCGGCTTTGTTCTTTATATTATCGGACACGCATGGAGGATATATGGCTTCCCTTATTCTTAAACATTTTACATCATTAGATTCGCACGTGCAGAATACGAGGGGATGAGTAAAATAAGGGTCAATTTGTTGATAAAAGTTTCGTATAGCTCCCATGCACACAACTTTGTCGCATTGTAATGCCGAAAGAGGGCGTTTTTTTGTGGACAATTTAATTTTTGTAACCGACTCGATTTTTCCATCTAATAATAGGTTATGAAGATTATTCTTAGTTTGTAAGTCGTTAGTTGGGAAAATTGTTTTATTAAAACTTATCTGCTAAGGTTAAAAGCGAATAAAAAAATGGTCGTCTTTTATCTCTTAAAATAATGTATAATTAAATTAGCCTATCTCGATAAACAAAATAATTTAAAGAAAAAAAAATTACCAAATTTATTTTGACATTGAGGAAAAAACATATTATAATAAAAGTTACTTTTTGTACCTGTAATCTTTTCAGTGGTGATGGGATCCTTATTTTTTAACTTCTTTCTAATAATTTTCCCGGCTTCGTTTCCAACAGAAGGCTTGTTTAAAATGTTTCTGTCTTGTATCTTATCACTAGTATTTCTATTTTTCCTCGTAATATCTGATAAAAAATAATAATTTGTTTTTGATGAAAAGGAGATATTTGAAATTGAAATAGCAATACAAATTTTGATAATATATGAAGATAATGTTCAAATGTTTAAGACTTGTCATTTTTGGCGGTGAAGTTTTTTGCTGCCTGTTATCAGTAGACGCAAACTTTCTTCCTTTCTCAACCGGGCTTATGACCGGTCATGACCCCAACTAGTTTTGTGATTATGCATGATAAAGAAATAAGCCTGGAGATTTTGAACATAGATGGCAGAAAGGTTTAGACCTCTATTTGCCAAATCGTGAGGCTTGCATGATATTATTTTGGCTTAAATCTTAATGTTTTTAAGAATCGATCTAAATCGGGCGGTAACACTACATAATGTCTTATAAAAAGAAAAAAAACTCTTTGCCTTAAAAATTGGCTTGAGTTTATAAATTTAATTAATACGCATTCTAAGTTTTAATTACACTTTCATAACATGATTCTTTATCACCATATTATTATAATAATTTAATTTTAAAAATTAGACGACGTGCAGTAAAAAAAAAAATTTTTTTTAAATTTCTGGTCAATATATTTCCGTATATCGAATACAAATAGTAAAATTTATTATTCGTAAGAATAAACGAATCGAATACGAATATGGCCACTATCAGATTTTTATTCATTTTTGAATAAGTCAGGAGGTCAGGAGGGAAAAGGTTTTTAGAATGTTTATTTTGTTCGAAATTGTAAACCGCAAACCATTTAATTAATTAGAGGAGTGTATCATTCATTATATTCGGAAAAAAATTTATAATGGGTAACTTTTATCCATTATCATCATTATATATATATATAGTAAGCATTAGATCACAACAAGATGTAGAATCCACAAATATTAACTCCTTGGCAGTGAGCAACTCTTGTGCTCTCATTATGACAGAAGTTATTAACATACCCCATATTTATATAGCATTAGAGTGTATCTAACGATTTATTTTAAAATCTGGATGATTAAAATGGTATACTGCCCAAAACAATTTAAGAATAAAATATATCGTTTAACAAAAATAATTAAAAATTAAGAAACATTAATATTACTATAATAAATACCTTGTTTCTCATTCAATGCTCGTCTCAAAATCGCGGGAACTTTATTCTCATAATTTTCAACATCTTCTTTCAAATTTTCTAAATTTTTGGAATAAGCACAAGCTGATATGATGTCCGACATTGCGGTAACACATTTAGAGTCAGTATTGCATTTTAGAAATACGCTGCTGCATTTTATGTCTTGTTTTTTTTTTCAAATTAGGAAATTTATAAACATTTTTATTTTCGCAGAAAAATTTTATTGCCGTATTTTACCTTCATCCGGAATGGGTGTAGTGTGAAAGTAAACGGGATTTCCTTTTTTTTTAAATAGAAAAAATTTAAATTTATCAAAATAAACTCTGATCCGAACACAAAATCAATTTATCAAATATATATAATAAATAACTCATATCTGCATAATTATAATATATATATATATATATAATTTGACTTACTATAAGAATAGTTATGCATCATACATGATACATCAAATTTATTTTTTCCTAACGCTGAAGATGAACAAACGTTAATCGTATCATTCCCGTAAATCTCATTTAAATAGGAACGCGTGCTGAGTGTCAAATTTATCAATTTTTCGAACAAGGATATATGAGTGGAATTAATCAAATTGGCGTTTCTCGTCGTAGTGGCGTGCTTGATCCTTATCTTTGAATCATTGTTAAACCCCGAGTACGGATATTCCAAAGAAAATTCGCCCAAACTATCAATAACATTAGTTCCATTATAGGATGACAGATTATCATTAACATAATAAATAGTATCATTCATGTCGGGGTAGGATGGTAGAGTATAATTTGGAATTAGCGTGTTGGCCTTGAGTAATCTAGAATCGCTGGATAAAAATGATGTAGAAATATTTGAAGCCTTAAATTCAGTCGTAGGCCATTTGAAATTGATAGTCAAATTTTTTAAGTACAAAGCTATCATGTATGAGATCCATATGATATCTTCCTGCCTTCTTAATTTATCTATTAAAACGGAATCTGACACGTTTTGGCTAAACATATTATGCTGATTTCTAAAGGCTTTTCGTAATAAAAAGGTTGCATTTGATAACGTGGAATAATTACCGGGGATAAAGTCGGTATTCATAAAATAACTCGTTAAAATATCGTCAAAGGATATCGGAGAAAATAAAGAAATTGGGTGAGATAAGTTGGCTGAGTGTACCATAATCGAATTTAACAGTGACGATTTATTGAAATTCATTATATTTTGTAGCCTTTCTTTATATAATATAAATATAAAAAAGTATATTATTCATCCTTGAAAAGGTAACTATTTATATTTTTTTTTAAAGGAACCTGTTATTAATTATAGCTATATTCTAAAAATTATTTATATACTAATCATTTTTAATATAATTTTTTTTACTAACAAATTTCAATCAAAGTAAAAATCCAAATAAAATTACAATAATACAGAAATTAATAGGTAATGATGTTATTTAGTTAGTTGTTTTAACTACACTAGTAAAATATATACAAAAAAGGTTTCAAACGCAAAAATGTTTTATCATAATATATGGTATATAATAATATTTACTTATACATGGATTAGCGTGCAACAATTTATTTATTTTGTCGCAAGCGATGTCCAAATTGCCGATACACGTGCAGTTATATAGCGTAGTTGATTTGATTTCGAGCCAAGAATACCAACAATCCTGGCTAGAAGAGAGAAAATAAATGAAAACAACGTTAATATTTTACAAATTTTTGAACCTGCTTTCCATTTCACAAATAGCGGAATCCAACATTCTACAGTTATACTGATAATCGAAGAATAAGCTTTTGCAAGAAGCTTTCTGGAAACAGGCTTCGTAGGCTACCGTGCAAGAAAGATCTTTGGCAGATAATAACCTATCTTTAATAAAAAATAATAATGTTTTAGATAGTTTATTTATTTTAAATCAAAGAAATTGGATTATATACAATCATAGGACATGGACTTTTTAATTATTCGAGGGTTTCGCTGTTTAACAAAAAATTAGTATTTTCCATCAATTATAATTTCGCAAAGATTTATATTTGGTCATTGGGAAATGCTATTTTTCTCCGTAGCTGTTATTGGGGAATCCCCTCTCAATTTTCTTTTGAAAATACACATTTTGCAGGAAAAAATGTTGGTTTTAAATATTTTTAGATTTTGAGCATCTATTGACGGCAAACTAAAAGGTTTAGTCACGCCACTGAGAAAACGAGTATAAATTTAGTTTAATTAAAGTTTCATTTAACATGGTTCTAACCGTACACTAAATAATAAACTAGATGTTATGTGCCTAAATATACAGAATTCTGAACTTCAAACTTTTAACTACGTTCAAATTATAACCGTTATATATAAACAACAATTCTATTTAAATTAGGAGAGCGAAAAAAATCAAAATCTGAACTCATAGACAAGGGACGATAAAGACTAGTGAAGAAAAACTAAAATATCGGGTTGTAGGTCCTTTTTTTGGTATTCTTCGCTACGAATTTATATTTGTCTTTTCAATATACATGTTTTTTATTAAAATGCCTTTATTTTAAGGTTTATCTTTAAGGCTGGTTTACTTTTCCAAAGTCAATAATGCAATAAAGAAATGATGATCAAACTAAAACTATAGAACAGGTGCATCCAATAATACATTATTGTTTATGATAAAATGTTTAACTCATTTATCAACACTTTAAATGTGATTCCCATTCATCGTCTATATTTTTAAAATATTAAAATTGTTTTCTTTTAAGAATAGGTCTCCAGCTTATCTGAGATGCTGTCTACCTTCGTTACATTAAAATACCCCCTATCTCCAATCAATTTAGTGGCGTTATTGTGAGAAATCCACCCGTGTTACTTACTGTATATAAGATTTAGGGAGATTATTTAGTCATAATCGAGATTAGTGATGTTAAACGGCTGAATTTGAGCCGATTTTTAAAAATGGCTTACTCAATATTTTAACCAAAAAAATATCGCCTAAGCCTCGACTCATTTCCCTAATAGATGTCCCAAAACCTTTGTGCCATCCATGACGAAAATCTTCAGGCTTGCTTAATCTTTTTATATTGAGTTAATCATATTGAGGCCGCTATTCATTTTACTCCTTTTTTTTTAAACGAAATTTGAGATCCGTGTTAATGAACCAATAATTAAAATAAATGATTACTTTTTATTGCATTTACGCTAATTAAATAAACGTTTAATTTTGGGAAGTCATAATTAATTATTATATAAATGCGTTTTTGGTTGTTTTTAAATAAAAAAAATGGCTTATCATAATCAGCCTTCTTTCTCTGCGTTTTAATTTAAAAAAAAAATATATATCAAATTAAATTTTTTATTTGTATTCATCAAAATTCTAATAATTAAATCGTATATTATTAAAACTTCCAATTTAACTTTAAAAAAAAAATTTATGAATCGATAATCTTTTTTTTATATTCGAAATAAAAAAAAAATATGATAGCGGGGTGCGAATATAGAAAAAAAAATTGTTTTTTAAAACAAAATATTAAATTGTTAAGTTTATTCATATAGATTATAATCTATAATTATTTTATTTTTTTTGAAGTTATTAAATAATTTGCCAATATCGATAATCCAAATATAAAAATTCGAAAACCCACTCCACCTACACCCACCACCTCCCCACCTCATTAATAATCTTCCTCCCCTTAAAAAAGCATCCTTTGCCGCTTGCAGTTAGTCCCAGAAATCTTGTAGGTTTTAAAGTCTTCAGGTATGATAATAAATTAAAACATTTTAAGATTTTTGTGTAATTAAAAAGGTAGAAAAAATTTTTTTTTTGTATTTTGAATTTAGAATTTAAAAATAATTTTATTCAAAAATAGTCGTTTAATTAAATGGACAATATTTTTTATTACCAGTCAAATAGTGTTGTTACACAGCTCGTTTTGAGCCGATTTTTAAAAACGGCTAACTCAATATTTTACTCAAAAAAATAATGCCTAGGCCTCGAGATTTTGCTAATAGATGTCCAAACCTTTGTTCCTTCTACAAACAAAATCTTCAGGCTTACGTAATATTATTCTGAATGAAATATTAAGTTCGCCGTTTTTGAAAATCGGCTCAAAACGAGTGGCTTAACAACACTTTCAAATATCATTCTGTCAATTGGCATATCATCAAATACCAATAACGAATAAAAACACAATATGTTTATTCTGAATGTAAAAGTAAATATCAAATACTAGTTTCCAGTGGTGTTGCTAACTTTTTAAAATTTGATAGGGCTTAGTTAGCTATAAAAAAAAATTCTACCCTAAAATTAGCAACAAAAAAAAATACATTTAAAAAAAACCATAATCTTAAAATGCTAACTCAGGGTTCTCTTCAAAATGGGTTTTGGTCTTCTTAATCAACCCCCCCCCCCCACAGATGGTACTATGCACAGTCAGAACACCTTGTTTAGTTAATTTTTATATTTCATATAATTACATCAACATTAATTTTTCTAATCAGAATTTCTAATTATATTTTATTTTAAATTGTGCAATATCAACGACTTTCTATTATATTTCTCTGAGTATGTAATTTGAGGCGGGAAAAGCGTAAACAAATTTTATATAATTATTGGAGGGGGGGGGGGAGGATTTATTCTAGGCTAGTATTTTGTTTCATAAGTTTGGTAGGAAGGGGGATAGGAGCCCCCGATATAAGTGACGTGTATAAAATTTTGCCTATTTATATTATACTTTATGCCCCCCCCTAGCTCTTTGATTGGCGGAAACTAGATTTTTTAAATAGGCTAAAGTGCACACAATTTCACAATTTTAATTTTTTTTATTAAAAAATATAGAAAATTTTACAAAAATATAAAAAAATGGTAAAATGATGATGTGTTAAGGTGCGATATTTTGATACAAATATAAATATTTTATAAAAACAATTAGTGTAATATAATTGTCAGAAGAAAAAGAAAATTTTAACTTTAAATATAAAAGTGAAACTTTAAAATGTAACCCTGCTAAAGGGCGCCATAAATATTGGGCCTAAGGTCCTCCAATAAACTTATGATAGTAGCCATGCCTCTACCTTAGAAAAATTCTGGATCGACTATGAGTTAATCATAACCATTACAAATTCAATATTTTTGCCATAAGTATTTGTAAATTTAAATAGTTTTTCCCATCCACAGTAAACTATTAGCGAAACATTTTAAATTTATAATAGTAGAAAATCTTCTTTCCAGAAACAATCTCAATCCGGCAGAGAGTAGTGACATTAATGATTTTAGTCAAAGATAAAAGAAGACTCAGGAGAAATTGCAGCCAAAAGAAACTTGGATATCTTGGGAATATGTGCCCGATATTCAAAATAGATATTTAAATTTGTGTCTATATAATAAATAATAAGATTTTCAACCTTTATTTTTCTTATTTTATCTATATAAGTTAAATTTCCTTATTTTATTTTTCATACATAAGTAACAAGGAGGGGGGGGGGGGGGGTATAAATGTAACAATAAAATATATAAATAATCATTAATTTTAAAAAATTATTATTTTTTGTCACTCCATAAATGATATATTAAAAGAGACCTTCACGGTCCAAAACTCAAGCCTGAACTGTCCAAAAATAGCAAGATTTTAAAAATCGGGAGTGGCGATATTTCTCAGTTGGAAAATGTTAGAAAAGCGTATAATGGAAGATTTCGATATTCAGTTAATGCTGCGCATAAATTCAAAATCATTTTTGAAAAAGAATTTGCAAAATAGAATTATAAATATTCAAAATCAAAAAATTCTGGAACCGGGCTGCCAAAATGTTTATAAATAATTCTAACCAGGCCAAATATATTTCCAAAAAATTTTGGGACGGGCCTAAAATTTTGACCCCCTCAGATTTCTGATTAATAATTATATTTATGATTTTCTAATACAAAAAAAAAGAAGTCTATATTCTAATTAATATTTTATAAAATCTATTTATTATATATATTTTTTTACCTTCGAGCAATATGATGATAGTCAGAAATTTTAGATAGGATTGAATAGAGAACATGGATAAGATCTTATGGATTTTTTTAACATTGTTTCCAAATTATCCCATTTATATTTGCATTTATTATCTATTTACTCTAAAATGTTCTCCTTAATTAATAACATCGTTAGAATTTAAGATTTTATAAATATAATATTTAAAAAGTGTTAATTTTTTTTAACGATTTATCTAAGTTTAATATTTAATATTATTTTATTAAATTATTTAATACTTAATAACCCATTCTGTCTGGGTTTATTTTTGTAAAATAAAATTTCCATATGGCTTCAGATATTTTTTTTAAGTAACTGGCACCGCCGACGAATTATAATTTTCTGGATATTTTAAAAAAATATATTCATAAAATTTGATTATAATTCCTAAAATTTACTATATTCTATTTATATAATAATATTAATTATAATAATATATATTTTTCGTAAAAAAAAAATAGTTATTTACATAAGAAAAAATTTCCATTTTAATCTAAATATTTAAAATTGTGTATACTTATTGATTTTCTTGGGGTTTATTTTGATATTTGAGAAGCACAAGTGAGAATTAATAACTTTTTTAAATGATAAAAAAAAAAGAATTGGTGTTGAAAAAAAAGGGGAGTTAGGGGAGGGATATTATAGAGGATTATTTTAAAATAAAATTTGGAATTGAAAATTTATCATTTTTGATTATTTCTTTTGTAATGTTAGTTAGATGTCGGCACAGTCTCGGAATGGACAACTCGTGCAAAATATTTTTACAAACCTGGCTTGTACAAAGTTATTTTTCAGGGTAGAAAATCCTTTTCAAAAACTTTAACTAACCGGTTCGATCCGGGCCACGCCGGCATGTAATGTTAAAAAAAATGGTTTGATTCTATCAATTCAATTCTATTTCAAATGAAAATTAGCAAAAATGGTAACTCGATCAACTACCCCCCACCCCAACTTCAATGACGGTCTGGCTTCATACCACCCCTCCCTCATCCTCCCAATGAAAAAAAGTCCTTGACAACAACAACAGAAAGTTATTAATACACACAAAATTGGAATTATCACTCAAACTTTACTCTAAACTCGAAATGATTTAATAAATGCTATGCAAGTATATTCTAGTCCCTTTTATATGATATAAGTGCAGGTTAAAGAACAGGATCAGCGTCTGGGACATGACAATTATAACTCTGTCATACTATTTTATAAAATATTCTGATATTACGAGAAGAGTGAAGAGATTAATGTGTGGTTATGATTATGTGGGCCTTCACTAGGGTAAAGTGAAGAGTAATGACAGCTTATTGGTTTGTCATAACATAACCCACCACTCTGCAACTTTATCTTAAAGGTATATCTTAGAGACTAACTCTTTTAACAGCAGCTATTCTGTGCCCCCATTATTTCTATCTCTTCAGATAATAAATATATTTTATACTTATTATAAAAAATATTGCTGAATTTATTAAATTTAGAGAAAATGGGATTTGTAATTTAAGTTGATGAGACAATATTATGCAGAGAAACTTGAATTTAAAGGTAGAATTCCTTGTTGGATCTTAGGCGCTGATAGTTATTTTCTGTTCTAAGTCCTTGGAAAAGACTAGGGGATGGGAACCCAACGTGATTAGCTTGGTCCCTATATAGATAAACTTTTTAAATTGACGGGCATCGTTAAGAGGTACTTGGCAAATTTTTTATCAGCATGGCTAGAGCATCATGAATTGCGTTAAAAGTGTTAGGAGGAACAACGCACGAAATTTTATAAAATTAAAAAACAATTCTTCCAAAGAATCATGTCTATCTGAACTTTTACTTTCCCAATAACAAAGTCCGATGGGCTTAAATGTTAATAGGATAGTAACGAATTTTAAGGCATTGTTGTAGTTTTTATATATTTTACTTTACATAGATTGAGGCTGCCTTTCTAATTAACCAGTATTAAATAGTAAGTGCAATAGTAGGGCATTTCCATTTAAGTTTGAGTTCGATGGCATGACGAAACTCTTTAAAATCTTAAGAAACAATACACCAAAGAATATTACGAAATGTTCATACTCACTCCTTTTTTTCCCCTTTCATATTAATTAATTTTAATATTGTTTCAATATTAATGGTATAGTATTGGTTTGGTCGGTCTACTTTGTTAATAAAATATTTAGAAAATAAAAACAAATAAGCATTTCTTAGAAATATAGAGATATTTACTTTTATAAATCCTAATTCTAAAAATATGAAAAATTTTTTTTGAAGAATTTATTAAAAAATATATTAAATATACCATGACTAATCCTTTTTGACTTCATGTACAGACAAGGATGATTGTAAATAAAATTCCTAAAGTCTAAGCAAGAGTCCTGATAAACCTTGTAATCGTTGATCGAATATTGATTGGGTTCCCATTCGTCTTCTTTATTAACATACCTACGATGAAGTTTGAAATCGTCACAGTTGCAAACTGGCTCAAAGATAGAATTAGAATGCAAAGCTTTCAAAGCTTTTTGACAATGTGATATCCGATTTGAGTAACATTGGGAATCTTATAAATTTTGTGTGTTTTTTTTAGATCAACATGCGAATTAAATTAGATAAGTCAAAAGTTCGCGATGGGGGAGGAAGAGAGGAAATTAATTATTTGATTATAAAATTTATTATATTGAGTTTACAATGTTGTAAGGTATCAGGAATTCGGGGTATGTATACCGGAACCTTTAACATCTAAAAAAAATTAAATAATATGATTTAAAGTGCTTTTATTTAATCAGAATTATATTTCAGCGTGTGCTTATCGTTACAGATTTGCAATTTCTTTTTATATATACATCAATCAATAAGGAATTATGTGAAATAATTTTAATATTACACTTTATATTTTTTATGGGAAAATGATATTTTTAATTGGACGATGATATTTTTTGGAATAAAAATTGATTAATCTTCATACTTATAAAAAAAAATGGTGCATGTGCTTATTATACCCATGAATTTCAGAATTTTCATAAATTTTATTATAAGTTAACCCAAAATATTATGGCAAAATTATCTGAAATTCTTATGTTTTGATACAATTCTGGTAAAATCAAGTCTTTAAATTTTAGAAAAATGCTATTAACGATTAAAATGTTAAAAGTTCCATTATATTTATTACTTGTTGTAGTTGTTTTGCACGTTTTAAAAGAATATAATAGAAGGGTTGAGCATACAGAATTAACCTGTTCCAAACACTTTGCTTTGATATCTAGACAATCAGAGGCAAATGTAAAGTTTTCCTTTGATCCTAATAAATAAAAATAAACAATTTAATGAAAAATATTTTTAATACCTCGTCTTTTATTTATATGAGTTTTATTTATGTACGTATTAATTATTAATATGTGAAGTGAATATTATTTTAAGATACTAAGATATAATTTCTTAAATACTACCTCCTTATTAATAACCCATTTTAACCTAATATATAATTCTTACATAAAAATAGTGAAATATTTTTTGAAATTTAAATCACTTTTTTTTCATATTATATTAATTTAATTCCAACTTTATCTCTTTTAAAATAATATTAAATATTTATTATTAAAATCCAATCAATAAACTTTAAATTTTTTTTAGTATTATATAAGAGTATATTTTATAGTTATAATCCAAAAAATATAATTTTTTTTTTTTTAAATATTCAAAATATGAATAATTTACAAATCTCCAAGGAAATAGACTAATATTAAATATAATAATAATTAATCTAGAAATAAAAGAATAACAGTTTTAGAAAATCATGGTGAAGATATTTTGCCAAGGCAATAAATGGATTATATTATCTGGTTTTATAAATAACCGATTGGTATTTGTCAAAAGTCAACATAAAATTCAAAGAAAAACAAAGGTACAATTATGGGTGAAGCGGAGAGGTAGAAAATAAATTTGCCCCAGCATTTCTACCCCTCTTCCTTCCCCCCTATAGCTATAAAAAATGCAATTTGTTTTTGAAAAAAAAAATTATACATAAATCCTATGGTGTTCAAAGCTGATTTATTTTGCGTAAAAAGCATTAATTTTTTAAGATGAAAATGAACTTTAATGTTTAATAATTTGCTATATTTTAGGTTAAATTTAGATTTTTGAATTATAATACTGTAGATTTGATTAAATGATTCATTCCTACATTTAGCGCGTTGGTCTACAACCCGAGAACGGTGAATTGTACGAGACCCATTCTCGCACAACTGCGCAGATTATTTTATTGGCAAGGAATCCTAAAAACCTTAAAAATAGATACATTCAGCTAGATTTAATCCTATGATGTGGTAACTAACAACCTACCAATATTTAAATAGAAATTATAAATTTTCATCTGATATTATTATATTGGTCTTCTTGTCCTACCATTTGATTTGGGTATAATATTCGAAGAGCTATTTTACGACTATAATATATATTTATCGCCAATATATTTTATTAAATTTATAATTATTTCCTGAATTTATATTCTATATTTATAGGGGGAAAAAAAATTAAAAACCACATAATATATAATTTTAATGCGTTTTTCTACAATATTTTATTGTTTTAAAACACTATATTAAATTAATAAAGTATATGTTTTCTATTTTTAAAATGTATTAAAATTATTTTGTTGATACTTTGTATATACTTTTCTATTTTAGTAATATTATTTGATATTGTAGACATAAAATACTTTTATAATTAATAAAATGATAAAAATGTATATAAAAATGTTATCAAAATAACAAAAAAAACATTTTCAGTCCGGTCTGTGGGTGGAGTCAGGCCGCGTATCCTAAAAATCTTTTGTACCTATATTTTGGACATGCTATTTTTTTTAAATATTTATTTTGAGGGTTTCTGAATAATGAATTAATTGCTTAGAGAAATTTGTTACTTATGCAATTCATCCATATTTTTGAGATATTTTCGATAACCATATTTTTGTAACCTTAATCTATGTCAATAAATTTATTATATACACACATTTAAGCAATGAGTTTAAATGAAGATATTGATAATAAATGCCACGGTTCGACAGTGCTTAATTAGGGTTAGTGAATTATAAGCAAAACAAGAAAAGTGTGAAAATTTGAAACTAGTGGAATGGCTTTAGGATCAATTACTGAAACTTATATCATTGAGTAGCCCTTGGGAACCCAGCCACCCTTCTGTATTTATATATAATAAAAATTTCTACCTCTATATAAAAATTTTGACCTGGTAACCATATGTATGAGCAATCTTCGTTAATCTTAGTTAAAACATGATTTATATATATAATATCAAAGCGATAAAATTTATTGTAATATTTCATTTGAATAATTCGCATTTACAATTAATTCAAAGTTTCAAATTAAAATATTCCTTAATATAATAATTAAATGTTCTAAGAGATAGCATGTGTGGATGTGTTATAATAAGTTGAATAATTTTTGTAAAAATATTTATTATAAAAACAAATATTAGCGAACACACAATATTAATCTAATCAGTGAAAAAAAAATGAGACCTTATATCAAAAAAAAAACCTAATTCAAATGAAATGGCATATTGATTTTAATATATCTTGTCATTTTAGTTTCATATCTCTTATTTTAAATATTGATTTGAGAATCGTAATAAAGAATACAATCTTTTAATCAACAATAATTCTATAAAAATATTTATTACTCTCACCGTTAGACCAAGTTATTATTCTATACCCACCTTTATTCAATATTGGAATCACGTTAATATTAAGGTGAAGCAAAAATTATAAGACACCTCATCCTAGATCACAAAAACCTTAAATTTGATGTCCCAATATTCGATTTTGGTCACACTTAGTTGGTTATTCAAAAAATGCACAAGTTATCTACACTAGAGATCTACAAATCCCGGCCCGTACCCGAACGGGTTTCGAACCGGACTGGGTCTATAAAAAATAATAATTTCGGTTTTAATTTTTTTAAAAAAATTTTTGGGCCATGTCGTGTCGGGTTTATATTTTTAAATATGAGATTGCATTTTGTCAAATTTAATATATTTTAAAATTCTCGCAAGAAACAAGGCGCTAATATTTTTTTAGATGCAGATAACTAATGTAAACTGCCTTTATATCGACACTGAATAGCTATACCAAGTTTCTCAGCTTATCATATCACATACCATGGAAACTGGTATCCTTAGAAATATTATATTACTATGTTTAAAAATTAAAAAGTTTGTAAGATATAAATAAATTACAAAGTGTTAAATTAAAATAAATTATAATTTGACAATATAAACGTTATAATTAGTATACAAAAAAAAAATATATTCATGGTTTGAAATTAAATGTTAAATTAATAATTTCAACAATTAAAAATTAATGAATAATAAATATTTAAAAATTTTTTTTAATTTAGCTAATTTCGTTTTTAAAAGGATGTAGAGAGAAGTCTTTCAATATACTTTTTTTTGTATATAATATAATCTTTATTCCAATATTTAATGAGTGTATTCTTCAATGTGACTGCATTAAATTCTATATTCGCTCTTGGTGGGAAGGTTCAAAATTATAAATAGTCTAAAATATGATAAATATTTATTCAAATTGTTAAATACATTATACACTGTATTCATATCGAGCTGACACCCTTTTTTTTTATCAATAAATCGTCAATCTTTAAATGATTCTATAAAATTGTAAAGATTAGAAGAGGGATATTAGTATTTTCTGTAAATTTTATCAAATTATACCAGCAGTTTTAAAATTATGTATACATACAAAGCTGGACAAACAAAATTCAAACTTTCCAACATGTAAAAATTCATTTTTTTATTTTATATTAACTTTACAATTCGGCAGAAACATGATAACAACGACAACATTTAAAATTAATTTGAGTCAAATTTTGTTCTTCAAAGCTGATGTTTATAATGCCCGTCATTAACTATAATACATATTTTAAGACGAACTCGCGATTCATTGATTGCACGATCAACATTTCCTTTATTAAAAAGTTTATATACTCCACAAGTCGCTTTTGAGATGTTCAACGTGGTGTTTGAAGGTTTGATAAACACGTTCTTGAAGATCGCTTCATATATTGTAGTCATCGTATTAGGATCATGGCTATCTGGGGGCCAATGAGTGGGTAAAACAAAATCTGGTGTTTCTCATAGCAGATCTATAGTTTCTCAGGCACGGCTAGCTGGAGCAATGTTCTGTTGGAATATGAAAAATTCACAATTCTTAAATAGCAGGCAATAAGTACTCACTGAGTAAAACGTCATGCTAGTATGCACTATTAATTTTGACCCTTGGATCCATAAAGATAAGCTCTGTGCAGCCCAACTTGCCCCGACTAAACCATGACGTAGTTGCAATAAGGTTGTAACTGCAAAGTAAACTATATCATTTTCCAGATTTACTGGTGTAATTATTGTTAATAACTTTTTATCCGTGAATTACATGAAATTAACTAACCTTTGAGGGTATTTTCGTAGAAGTCCTGGTACTTACAAAGACAATTTTATTCCATCGGTTCAGATGTAATGAAGTTCGTGAAATATCAGTTTCTCGGGTCAATTTCTCGGGATACTTGAAAAATTGTTCTGTTGATCAGGTGGCATATCGATATAAGACTGAGGAAATTCCTTCAAAAACATGTTGGCTCAATAATGTTTCTCCTGCCTTAAAATTTTATTCAAACCCAAATAATCTTTACTAAAAACCATTTTGTTTTATTATCGTCTGCTTAAAGGAAAAGTTGAATAAATTGAAAGAATAAATTTTTAAATAAAGATCGAATATTGTTTGTCCAAATTTGAATGTGCATAACTTTGGACCCTTTTGATAGAATTTGATAAAATTTGTAAAAAACATTAAATAATCATTTATTTGGAGAAAAAATGACAAATTTTATTCAAAAATATCGTCATAAAAATATTTTTTTGCAATATTTAAATATGTAAAATTCAAAGAAAATATCGTATTAGACGTGGGTAGTGGAAAAGAGGGACTCCCTCCCTTTCTTTCAATAGTTTTATTACTATCTGGTTAATTGATTCGGTATGAATTAGTGAAGGTCACGATCCGGTCTTTGGTCCGGACTGGACCGATACTCTCGGACCGGACTACGGTCCTTAAGAAAAAGATCGATTTAGACCGTGGTCCTAAATAAAAAGAGCGAACCGGGACCGGTCTTTTTATTTGTTTAAAAAACACATTTTTTTAACCTAATTTAATTTGTTTTATCATTTTATTAAATATAAGAGTATTATATAAACAATAAAATTTATCCAATGGTATTGAAGAAAGTGATTTGGTGCTTGTGGAGGGCATATTAAAATTAAGAGTAGATTGTGTTTTTGAGATATTTCCATTTTCATCATTATAAGTATATATTTTATGTTTTATCAGATGTCTGCTTAAGATACTTAATTATTTTATTAAGAATAAGGTTAAGTTATTTTGACTATAAATTATTCAGACAGTTTCTTAAAAAAAATTAGAACTATATAAATAATAACCAAAATATTTTAATAATAATACTGCTTATTTCGATTAATTTATTGCTTAAAAAAATATAAACAATTATTTTGTTATTTGTTGCTACGATACATTAAATTTGGTACTGCAGTGAACACATCTATGTTTTTTATTGGGACTATAAGTAAAATGTTTCTTGGACAAACTTATGGTTTTCGTATTGTAAAATAAAAATTAACAAAATCTAAAATAACTCATCTAGAAAAATATCATAAAATAAAATATAAAAAAAAATTATATTAATTGAATAGTAAAGCAAACTTAAATAATAATAAAAGACCGGTCCGGACCGCGGTCTAAACCGTAAAAAATAAAAAGACCGATCCGGACCATGGTCCTTAAAAAAGATCGGTCCGACAATCGGTTCGGTCCGGTCTAAGACCGATAGGACCGGACCGTTGACCTTCACTAGTATGAATATAAATAAAAACTCTATATTAGTGAGAATATAAATTGCTTCTTTTATTGCGGGTTCTTTTACATAGGCGCCAAGATTTGATTTTTCACTTCTTTTCCTGAGATTTTGGAATTATAGTAGAGCCGCTATTTCTAAAAATTATTAACTATTTATTCTTCTTTTAATTTATTGTTTGTAGCGGCATATGGTGGGATAGGAGAAGTTTAAAGGAAATTTTTTTATAAGCTTATAATGGTATTTACGACGATAGGCAAATTTCCGAATGGTGAAACTCCCTCCCGCCCAACCTCTCCGTCTATGCCGCTGCTTATTTTATATACTTTTTTAACGTGATTTTAATAGAATATATTTAAAATTGAATAAATTAAACTTTATTTGGTATCAATTTGGTGAGGGGGGGGGGGGTTCATTTATTATTTATCACAATATCTATTAAAACTTGAGGTATATAGATCGTATTAATATTGATTGAGGGAATAAATAAGTAAGAAAAATCAAATTATATATAAATAAAATTATAATATTGCGTTAAAAAAAGAAGGGTATTGATCTTAATTTAGTGATGAGCCGATAATAGAACTGTTAAAAGATACTTTTGAAAGTTAGCGCATTAAACTACTATTATTCATTTATTTTAAGTTGAGCTCTCGCTATTTTATGAAAACCAATAATTTAATCTTTAATAAATTTAGCAGCTATGCTATCGTTTAGTTATAATCTGCGCATCTCTTGAGCGACATCGCCTTATTTCACGGTTACCATAAATGAGACCTAAGACTGGGTAAAAAGCTAATGCTTGAGATCCGGTCAGGTAATTGAAAAAATATATATTGATAAGTCATGAGCTAATTTGATATTTTGTCAAATGAAAATCCGACTTTCAATCAAACTTCGATATGTGCAAGTCGATATCAGTGAGTCGGAAAAAAATCATTCATTTTCTTAAACGAATACTATTATGAATATCTCCAAATAAATCTGTTAAATCAAATTCAAAATTTTTTTTTTTTTGATTAATAAAATAATAGTTGATTTTATTATTTTTAATTTTAGCTACCGTTATTTCCTAATTTGGTGTTAGCCAAATTTAAAATATTCGTTAATACTAGTGATGTTAAAAGTTACTTTTGAAACATAACTAGTTACAGTTACTAGTTAAATTTTTACAAAAGTAACTAGTTATTAGTTACAGTTATTTTCAAAAGTAACTAGTTACTTACTTTATACATCCTTCATATGCGCATTATTTATTTATTGAATGCATTTATTTAATACAAAAAAAATTAGGATAAACAAAGTATAATTAGTTATTTAAAATAATATACAATTTATTTATATAAAAAAATATCGCAAAATTGAATATTTACATCGAATATAAAAACATATATTTGCATTGAAAAAAAAACATTTATTTTTCATTAAAATTAGAATCTAATAAATGTTTATTTGCTTTTAACAACAAATTAATTTCAAAGTTATTATCTAGGAGACGTGCTCGTTTATCTCTAAAAATTAGCTTACCTAGACTGAATAAGCGCTCTACGGGAGCACTTGATGTTAGAACAACATTATATTTAATAAAGAGTAATTTTAACTTTGGAAAATCGTTATATAAAGAAAAAGTGTTGTTATTGGATTTGATAAAGTTTTCTATAAGTTCATTATCCAGAATATTTTGGTGCATTAGGTCAAAAAATCCAACTACATCAAGTGATGTTGGTTTTGAGCATGATACATTCGTCTGGGATTCACTTTGAGGTATTAAGGTATTTATTAAATTTAAAATTTCCTCCTTTTTTGCTTTATTCCTTTCTTGCCTAATCCAAGGCCAGTCAGTTTTAAATAAAGGGTGAAGAATTGCAGCAATGATGTTATCATTATCATAAAGATTATTAAACCTATAACATAATATTATTAATTTATAAATAATTATTTGATTTTAGTTACATTTTTTTCAATACTAGCTAATATAGTATCCTTTAGAGGTTGACAATATTTTAATCCCTGCATATCTGCCATACACATAAGTATTTGTGTTATTGTTGGGAACAATCAGACATTTTCACAAAATTTTAAATTAATAAATTTAATTTAAAAAATAAATTTAATTTAAAATTTATTATCACAACATATTAAAAATAAAATTAATTATTTGAATATATCTTTAAAAGTAACTAGTTACTTTTGGCAGTTACATTTCAAAAATTTTAATAGTTACAGTTACTAGTTACAATTTTAAAAATATAACTAGTTACAGTTATTTTTTAGCCAAAATGTAACTAGTTACAGAACTAGTTACAAGTAACTAGTTACCTTAACATCACTAGTTAATACCCTTAATTTAAAATGATCATAATTATAAGTTTTGTGGCAATTGTTTAGTATGTCCCAAAAAAATTTAAAGCTCTCTCTCTTTCCTTCTTTTTTTTAATAGAGACTAGTTCTTTAATTAGATAATGATAAATATGGTTTAATTAACCTTTTTTTCTGAGGATTAATTAATTGTATATAACAAAATATTAAAATATCAAATAAGCAATCTAATCATTTTTAAAATGTTTGGTTATTTGACAAAATTTTAAAAAAAGATTAATTATGTCTAAATTAGATTAGTTAATTATTTAATTAATATTATACGATTGTTTTTATAACCTACCATCCTGAAAATCAAGATGATTATAATATTTTCTTCGACACATTTCTTATCCAATCTTCTACACCCCAAATATCAAATTTAACAAATAAATTAATATTCATTTATATTAGATATTTCAAAATAATACATTATTTTTAAAAAAGCCCACATTTAAAACGTTCAAATAATTAAAATAAAAGTATTTTAAATAAACTGTACACGTTTTGTACCACTATAACTATCAAAAATTTTAATTTTGTGTTTCTTTTTTCATGATTGCAATTGGCCATAATTGAGTAGTCAAGTTATTATAAGCAATCAGTTAATCTTACATTTCCTATGAATAATGGTATAGCAAAGTAACCCGCGCTATGGGTACAATTCGTGTTTTTAGCATAAAAGCATGCTGCATCAGTAATGATCGGTAATCGATGGAGTTCTAAAATATATAGTAGCTATAATCAATGTTGAAGGATAATAAACTGATAAAGGAAGACTTTAGTACTTTAAAAAAAATCATGTTTATCAATCTCTAATCGTCACGATAAATATAGGAAAGAAGTATAAATTTTAAATTTAAAAACATTATTTATTTTTAAAACATTTCTATAATAAAAATAAATAAATATTTTACCTATATTAAGTAGAATTATCATCGTTAACAAAGAGATGTATATATCCATAGAATTAATTTATGTTGATAACATTAAATAATGATAATCGATTCACTCGATAGAATTTATCCATATCAAATAACATATCCACCTAATGATATATTTTTAGGTTTAGTATATAAGTTTACTCTTTAAAAATTGCATTATTTGTAATTAGAAATAATAAAAATCTGACGTTGATTCCTAGCATCGTAATAATTGGTTCCAAAATAAAATAGCTGATTTATTAATTTGTGATTTTTGGACGATAAAAAAATATATATACATATATTTTAATAAAAAAAAAATTTTTGTTTTCTTTATAAAATTATAGATCATTTTTTTTTTGTTATAGATTGGGGAGATAAAATTTGGAATCAATAATTTAGTAAAATGTTTCTCGTATAAAAAAAAATAAATATTATATTTGGAATTAAATAATTAGAAAATAAAATAAAAAATTCGGTTAATAATTAACTTGTTCACGCGAATCTAAGTGGTGGTAAATTATTATTAGGAATAACGAATAACCAATATCTTTGGGGTATATTGTTAAATGGCTCAATTTAACCAATTTTAAAATTCTAATTTTACGCCTAGAGATTTCGTTAATATATATATTTCCTATATCTGTGGTGAGGAAAATTTTCAGACTTACATAATGTTCTTTGCCTAAAAAATTGGGTTAGCCTTTTTTAAAAATTGAGCAGCTTTAAAAATATTACTATGGGGCTTATAATTTTTTTGATTTCGTTGAATACTTTTTCAACAAATAATCGGATGAGATTAGACTCCTATTTATTTCTAAATTAAATTTTTAGATCAGATTCTGCTCATATTTAAAGATAAATTCTCGGATGGGATAAGTCGGCCAACATTAGATGTCAGAATATGTTTAAAAAAATTTATGTTTTAACTTTTGTAAGATTTAAAAATTCAATTAACCTTAATTTAGCCAATTCTTTAATTATTTTTTTGTTATTTTAAATTAATTTACTAATGTTTCTTTTTATTATTAACGGATTTTTTTTAATATTGGGAACTTTGGGAAAGAAATATATTTTAAATATTATTTATTAGTAAACTTAAACCCCCCCCCCCCCAGTTTAGTAACTATGTCAGAAAATACTTCAAGTCTTCACTTTTTTAATTTTCTTGAGATTTATGATTACAATCCTTTAACAATTTTTGGGGATCAAAAAAAATACTACAACTCACTTAACGCATACTCCTTTCTTTTTCTATTTTTACCCTGCAATGCTAAAATCCCATTTAAAGATTCTTTGGCCATTTTTAGATATTTTGAAAGGTAATAGAAGTGCTCGCTACTAAAAAATTATGTTCACTCCAAATAGATAAAATTTAACTAAAGAGAATGTTTAAAATATAATTATATGACTCAATATTGTCGATGTGTTTGAATCAGTCTAATCAAGTTTGAAAAATGTACTGTGGTGATTGTTTCTTTTTCACCCATAACACTTATATAAATCAACTAAAAATGTATGTTTAGCATATTAATCAGAGATCTGCAGAGATACTATTTGCACGGCCCGAATTTTTTTTAAATATTTTTTTCGGCCCGGCATTTTTTAAAATATATTATATTTATTTTTGATTTTTATAGCTAATAATGGCGATTTCAAGTATTTGGTTTTAAAATAAGCAGCCCTGCACGGATATTTTTTTAAAAAAAAATACATGCCCGGCCCGACCCGAGTATATTTAAAAACGGCCCTATCCGGGTAACAGAGAAGGGCCTGCAGGTCTCTGGTTGTATCAAAATATATCAATTAAATGTGTCTGTAAATAGATACCGCTAAAAATCATCTGGATACATATATTTTATAAAAATATATCTATATATTTTAACGGCTATCATCTCCATGCTTATAATTTCATTGATTAAATGGCATAAGGCTCGAACCGGGTTTTAAATACGTTCGCTACGGATCGGATCCCTGGTATTTACATTAATTAATTGTATATATTTCTAAATTTTTCCTTATCTAAATCACCAAGACCATTTTTTAAAATAAAAATGGATGATTTCTTTGTAGAATTTAAATTATCTTATATCTAAATGATGATTATAAAATTTTTTTAGGTTACACCTTTTTTTTAAATATAGAAGGGCTCGGGCACGTAGCCAGCTGGGGGTGGGAGAGCCCCCCCCTTTAGTAGTAAATTTTTGGAAAAATATAAAACGGCTTCATAAATTGTGAATTGCAAAGGCTTTTATTTCATATAGATTATACTATTCTAAATATTAGCAAAAAGTTAAAATTAATTTAAATATTTATTTCTTATATATTAATATTTTATCTCACGAAAATTTAAAGTTCTAACAAATTGAAAATAATAATATGTTATAATATATTTATACTATTCATAACTTTTCTATTTAAATTTATTGGAAAGTAGAAATCTAATTTTAAAAATAATTAATATTATAATATATATATATGTCGTATTAAAATATTGATTCAATGGGGATTAAGAATTTCTACATTTTAAATAACTTATCGAAAGGATTTTGTAAATTTAAAAATTCTGTTTTAACCATAAATGTTGGACTGGAAAATTTCATTCAAATAAAGCCCTTTTATTAATAATAAAACCTCAATGAAATGTTCAGATATCCAAATAGATAGAAATTGCTATATATAATTATTTCTTAAATTTCTTATGCATATAATATATACATATATATATTCATTTTCAAATATATATTTCTAAACAGAGTTGCGATTTTTAATCGCTCATTGTTTGTAGTTCTAGTGTAACTAAAGTAAACCAACAATAAATTTAATATGATTATTCGATGAGTTTTCCCATGGCATTTCATAAATTTGTATTTTATAATATAAACTTCTTGATGGTATATTAACATTTAAGTGTATGTAACACAGTTTAGTTTTATAATTTATAAATGTTCCCATCATTAATTTATTAATGAAATTTAATGAGTTTCAGTAAATATTGTCAACTTGCTCTAAAAATAAACTTTTTTATAATATTTACTGGTTTTCTTTGTGAACTATTATTACAAAAATTATTTGTTCATTTATTATTACAAAAATTACATAAGTATATACAACATTTTAAAAATTAAAATATATTATATAAATAAAAATATTACAAAAACATTAGATTACATAAATAAATTCGATTTAAATGACTAAAATAAATGAACATGTCCATCCCATAAACATGTTAAAAGTAAAATATGGTTTTGATTAAATTTACATATCATCATTTATAAATAATAGTGTCCATTGAAATAAATATTTTTAAATTATATTATAATATATTTATTATAAATATAGCTTCTACTGAGGAGTAATATTTTTTTGCGTATAGTCTTTGTTTTCATTTCTTTTTGGCGTACCAAAAGGTTATTATTATCACTATTATCATAAGGATGATGACACCGGCAACTATAAACCGATTTTGTAAAATTCTTTGATTAAAATAAAATAATTAACCATTATTTTACACTAAAATATAAAAATTATATATATATACTTAAGTTTATGTTGCTCAAATACTTTATTAATGACTTTTGATTTATGTGAAATTTAAATTAAGAGGGGATTAATAAATTATGATATGTAAAACCGCCATTTTATGGGAATTATAGTACCTATATATATTAGAGTCTTAGTCGATAATGTTTTTTTATAGACTCAAAAGCAAAATAAGCTCAATTTTTAAACACCATTAAATGTTATTAAATAATGAATGTAATCTAATAATCTCTTGTGGTATTTAATTTATAACTTTTTGTTTATTTTTTTCAAATTAATATTTTAATTCCAACGATTCATAGTCTTATTAAACAAAATATCCAAAAAAGGCTAAGCATAAGTCTCTCAAAATATATAAAAAGTTTAGCAAGAAGCAAGGTGTAAAATAAATAAAGATATTATTGAGCAAAACAAGAGAACCTAAAAGATGAGGATTTCTATAAATATGTACCAGATCTGGTATCAGTGGAGGCCCAAATCTTCCCTTTTACACCCAAAAAATCATTTTTAGGTGAATAAAAACGAAATATTATCGAATAATTATTTTTATAGAATCTAGTACTAACCTAGTGGGGTTATTTAAAAAAATTTAGGATCTTGCAGCGGTGAAAAATGTTTTATATGAAATCTTGAAATCCCTGTTCAACCTCATAGGATTTTTCATCCTAAATATCATTTCTTAATTTTAATTTTGGTTAATAATTTTTTTTAAAAAAGTTAAACAAAATTGATCACTTTATTTTCGAGAATTTAATTTAACCCTTTCGCGCCCAGCGAGATCATTTGTCATCAAAATTTTTAATCAATTAATTTTTATATTTAAAGAAACTAATGGTTGGTACTTAGGATATTAATTTATAAAACATTATTTATTATTTATCCTTAACCTGTCAAAATCATTATTTTATTATATCAAAGTACAAGTATTTTTTGTTCATGGGAAATATTCCGGGCGCGAAAGGGTTAATTGTTGAAAATATATAATTTAAATAAATATCATATTAAACTGCAAATCTAACGTACGCTAGAGATCTGCATTGGGCCTACATTTTAAATTAATCTTGATCCAATTTCTTTTTATTTATCCCCCAAATAGCCCGACCAAAAAAAGATTCTTTTATAGTCGATAATTTTTAAAAAATTATCCGTCAATACAACTAAAATTATTTATTAACATTCATTTTTGTAACCTCCTAATCATTCCAGATAATATCCTTGAACTTTTCCCCAGATCACTTGACATTTCTCTTAACTATTTTACCATATTCACATAATATTTATTTTTAAAAAAATTTCCAAAAGGAGAATATTAAAAGTTTATCAAATGTCATAATTATAATCTAAAATAAAACAGTGAATAATAGTTATTTTAAAAAAATCTAAAAAATTTAATACTACTTTTTTTATAATGAATAAGTGAATCAAAAAGATATTTTTAAAATATATCAAATATCTTGTGAATTATTAATTGAAACTGAAGAACATGGTATGTTATAACAGTTTAATTTTTGGCAAACTAACGCACGACTATGGAATCTATTTTTGTTAATTTTAAGAAATAACTATAAAAAAATTAGAATATAACTATAAACTAATTTTGACCTTCTTAAGTCTCCATCTCATGAGTACAGTATAGCTACGCTTAATATTATTCTGTACATCGATTTAAAGAGAGGATCCGACTTCGAATATTTCCTTATATTTAACTAAAAATTTTATATCCCCTTAATTTAACCCAAAATTAATTATACCAGATCTAATCTAAACACGTTGGTCTGTGACTTGCCTAAAAATGAGCAAACGTGAATTACACATGGACCTAACCTCTGCATAATTATGCCGGTTATTTTTATCAAGGATACCAAAAAACCTTGTACTACTTAGAACTGGGCGTCCATAGAAGCAATGAAAGCATTGCTTTCCTTAAAAATTTTTTAAAAAAATAATAAAATTAATATATTTTTTATGCTACACTGAAAAAATAAATACTATTTTTACTACGTTATTATTTTAATAGCTTAAAAAATTAATATGATTTTTACTACGTTAGAAAAATATACATGTGGAAAGTAAATAAAAAATTGCTTATTTTTTTAATAAAGAGGAAATCATGCGATTGTATTGTGCAATTTTAAGTTTAAAAAATAAGAGTTGAGTAAGCCAATAAAAAAGATTCTTCTTTTTTAAATATCAATAATTAATCTAAAATGTCTAATAATAGCAATAATATTGCTAAAAATTAATTTATCAATAAATTTTGATGTGAAGAAATTGATTATCGAGAAAAAAAACCAAAACCAATTTTATAAAACTTGAATAAAGAAATCCAAACTTGCATTTGTAATTTTTCCTGTTTGCTGTTAAGTGGCAGTATTACGTAATAAAGAGCTTTTTGGAAACGCATTTATTCTTAGCTGAAGCGTTAAAGGAATGTCAAGTATTTCCCATTTCATAATCCAAAGTTTTAGTTGCTGAACCAGTTTCTCTTGTACAGCAGGAAAGGTTATAGACTGAATATTTTTTATCTAAGGCTTGTTAAATCAAATTATTAGATGGATATCTTAGGATATGACCCATAGGTTTGAGCTTCCTGAACTTCAACACTAAAGTAATTGGAAGATAACTACATTTCTCCCAAAGTAGGTTGGTTGAATAATTTGGAATGTAGGATTGAGTGAGGTACAATCAAGTATATATTGGTAAAAGCTTGGATTTTGCCTCGTTCCATGCCTCAATGCCATGGTAGTATAGGGAGTATAGAATAGAATTTTATATAACCTTCATTTTTAGCAAAGTCGATATTTGTTTGATAACCATATCTTCCTAAGTGAGCAATATTTAAATCCATCTGCTGTCATCTTTTTTGATACATCCTTATGTATTTCCTTTATTATCCAGGGTAACTCCTAAATATATAATGCACATGACTTCTCCACGTTATTCCATTTATAGTTAGTAAATTCGGACATCATATCTGTTTTGTCAGTATTCAGTATAAGGCCAAATACTCTTGTCCTCGAAGCTATTTTATAAAAAAGGTATTGAAGGTCTTACATAGAAGCCGCTATAATACAAAATTGGTCAGCGAAAGCAAGAAAGTTTATTTTGTCTACTTCTATAACACCAACTTTGGTATAATAGTATTAATGGTGACGTTTAACAGTACAGGCGGAGAACAGTCTTGTTTCATGCCAATCTTTATCAGGATTTTTATAGATTTTAGTCCAGATGTATTATTGGTATCATGTTATTTTGGTATATATTTATCAGAAGGTGTTCAGGAACGTTTGTCATATCAGGCGACTTCCAAATTAATTGTATTATATAGTCAAAAACTGGTTAAATGTCTAATGCAACAATGTAAAGTTGGTTCTTTAACATCAGGGCTATTTCAAGCATAGGTCAATTATAGCTTCCACAGTGTTGTGGCTTTTCATGGAAGAGGTAATAAAATCAACATAATTAGGTACAGTGTACAGATTTACAAGGTCAAGAAAAAAAGTAAGTTAATAACTTATAGTTGGGAAAGTCCAATTTTCAAACTTCTTGAGTTTATAATCTAAAAAAAATTAATTAAGATAATATCTGTCCAGATATTTTATTTCCAACTATATTTTATCAATAGCAGGAATAACAATCACTAAGGGGTCCATCTTCAAAAATTCACTTCAAATGCCATCTAATCCTACAGCATTGTGGTCCTTTTTGGAGGTAAGATCAAATGAGAATGTTCTAGGATCTGGTAAGGGTTATGTTGAAAACATGTTTGAATAGTGAGTCCTTTCTTTTAATTGGTTATTATTCTAATTGATAAAAAGTCTTGGAATATTGTCCTGCTTTATAGGATGTGAAAGATTTAACAACTAAAAATTTTAAAGAAGTCATTAGACATGAAGGAATGCTGAATTTAGTAGCCCTTTTTATAAGTAACGCTCATTTATCATGTTTTAGCTCATGGCTTATATCAAGTAATCTATATTTAATCTTATTACTACAATAGAAGCATGCCTTTACTAGTCTAGTGATTTTTTGAATCAAAGGAAATCCAGTCAGGGCAATACCACCTTAGATATAGTGTGATGTCAAGTTGGAAAATAGACTCCTGGTGTGATCCTACAAGCCATTGATATTTGTAATGTTGTCCTTAATAAGTTTTCCTTAATTTGAGGATCACTCAGTGATTCCATATTATACTATAGTTTTATTTGATTTCATATCTCCTGTTTTTTCTGCACCAGAGCTTAGTATAGTATCAATGTTTATAAAATACTTATGAATATTTTATGATCTGAGCTAAAACCTATTTAAAACTTTAACATTGTCCATCAGTCTGTGAGTGTTTTTAGAATAAATGAAAAAATCAATCTGGGACCAGGAGTTATATTGAGTTATAGGATTGTTAAAAGAAAAAGTTTGCTAATAATCAAGATCATTACATAATTTTAAGAGAAGTTTACTTCCAGTGTCAGAAATTTAATTAAACGCTGCCATACTTAGACAATCATGTTGTGAAATAGTGGAGAAATCAACTCTAGAATTAAAATCGCCAGTCATGATAAAATCGTTATGTTCTGAAGCTTCTTTTCATAATTGTGCAGGACAGAGTAAAATTCCATATTTTCCAGATAATTCACATATATTAATGATATTCATAGGTTTATAATAGGACATAAATTTGATTTGATGATAAAAAACCTCCTATCAAAAACCTTAAATATGAAACTAATTAAATCATTTTTTAATAATTAAGAATACACCATATTCCATTTCCTTACAGTCTCTTCCTAATTATAGTTGGTGTAATCATTACAACATTTTTTTTAGAGATTCCACCCAATGAGTTTCATAAATACAATATTTATCCATATATCAGAAATAAGTGTCTTTACCAAATCTAACATTAATATATTAAAATTTTAAGTTCCTTCAGTTTAAAAACTATAAACTTAGAATATACAAATTATAGGGGTTATATATACATATACAATGGTATCAAGAGTAGTTTTACTATAATCATGAATCCTATCAAAGTCAAAACCAATTTATAATACAAAATTGATATTATGTGTACTTTAAATTTCTAGTATCTTTAATAAAGTAGTAATTTAAAATTATAGTTAAATTCACTTAAAATTAATAGAGATTTTGTAATCTCTTATATTGGTTTGCCAATAATTAAATTATATACATGTATTTTTCGTATTGCATCTTTAAAATCATATACAATTTGAGTTTGTAATAATTTACTCTATCATGTGATCGCTCTAATGATTCCCTTTGCCATTTTAAGTCTGTCAAAATCTCTGCCCCAATTTTTTCTGACTCCAAAGCCACTCTATATCCATGATCAATGTTATCTGTACATCTGTCTAAATTGGCTAGAAGACTTTGCTTCTATATAATAAAATATTAAATATTTAAGAATATACAGGAGATTAAATCAAATATTAAATTGTCATATTAATCAATTTACAGGCAAAATATAGGATACAGATAACACACAAAACACTCCATTAACTTTTATTTATTACTTATATTTTAAAGCATATTATTTAATACCTTAATAAATGCTAGGTTTCTTAATCTTATTAACAGTTTTAATATGATTTGTTATGTTGTGACACATTGGCAAATGTTTAACAACATGTCAAACATTAAATATCTCATGGCTTTATAATCAAAATAATGGCAATATAATTTAAAAATAAACTGAGCATTAAATATATAATTCATGGCTTCATATTTAAAATAATGGCAATATAATTAAAAAATAAACTGACTTCTTCATCTTTACAATTATCTCCTTCTAAATAGTCATTTGATTTCTGAGATATTTTTAATTCCTTCTTTATAATGATATAAAAATTTTCACATATAGTAAAACTTACATATGTTTTGTCTAGCCCATCTAATTGTGTTTTATATTGATCACTTAAATATTTGATATGTTGTTTTTCATTCATAGGCAAATCATTTGATTCTAAATCAATTTGTTCCAACTAAAGAATATATTAAATATAACAATGAAACATCTATTACAAGTTCATGGCCTTCTTCTAACAATTTAGATACCTCAGGCAAATTTACATATCTTTCGTTAACTGAATAAAATGATTTTATAAATATATTAAGAAATTTACCTAAAGCTGATCTATTTACACGCTCTTTTATGACTTGCAATAAATTTTCAAAATTTTTAATATGACTTTGTATTATATTTGCACTGAGCATATTATAAACTACATTGTTAAAAGATTAATATCTCGATGCAATCAAAATATCGAAATAAACAATCAAAAAATTCATTCATTCATTCATTACCACGCTTTCATCAAACATTAGGAGTTGTAGCGTCCAGAAGGCCATGTGAATAACAATATTATTATTAATAATAATGTACCCGACACCTGGTTAGATTATTTAAGAAAAAAAAATAAGTCTTATGTTCAGTAAATATATCCTTGGAAGATAACATTATGTCTATAAGCGTCCTGTTCCAGAGGCATCTAGGTTCCCTATAAATGTAAAGTTGGTCCTTGAAACCTTTTATCTTAAGAAGCTTATTATCGTTTGTTTGTTTTTTCTTTTTTCTTTTTTCTTTTTTTCCAATTAGTTTACATTTTAAAATAAATTTTTTATATTTTAATTTACGAAGGTAATACTTAAGTCAAGCGCGTACGCATAAATTTAAGGGGAAACCGAAGGAAATCAAAGATTTGCCGATCAACCAATTCTGGTTGGACCGTTAACTTTAAGAGAAGAAAAATAATGCCTATAAATTATATCAATATGCTTTAGGTATATGTCGGACGGAATAAGACATCCTAGCCTAGAGTCAATGGCAACTTGGAACTCGCAAGTGGGTAACATCTCATTTCCCATAATCGAAATCGTGTAAAGCCATTCATGGCAGTTAGAATATATTTTTGTTTTTAAGTATTTGGGTTAATTCGATCAATAGGCAAACAAAGTTTTTGAAATGCACGTTGAAACATGGGAACTATAAAGCTCTTTAAATTTCTTAAAAGGGGATGGTTGGAACCTTGGAGTAAAGTCAGCCAATATTGTTTGTCCGAATCTAGAAGTGGATCGCATAACGATAAGCGAGGAAGTAGGCGTTAGAAGATATTTAAAACAAAGGGAGGCATAAAATGACGATTTAAAATCCAAGTCCTATTTGGTAAGCAGGTATAGAGGTAAATTTCCCATTAAACTAAGAAAGCTTTAGGACTAAAAGCAATTCGATGAAATGTTTAAATTTCAATTCAAAGGGCTTAAGAAAGGAAAAATAAAGAATTTAGATATGAAAATCACTTTTTGATGAGGAAAAAAACCGTTGCATGAGAAGGTGAGGAAATTTTTTTAGCAAATTAAAAAGGAATTTTATCGTTTAAAAAAATTTTGACAAAAGGAATTTGAAAAGACTATAGGAGAACTTAAAAGTCATAGGTAAGGAAAGATTTTAAAGTCTGAGGGAGGGACAATATCTTAATTGTTGATGAAGGATATCTCGCTTTTTTATCTATTTAAGGAAAGACCAATTTTCGTAGCTTCCACACTCTATCATCGTAAGACATTGGGTATAGATCCACCAAAAGACCCATTGTCAAGATACCATAAATTTAAATCTAATTTGAAATCATGCTTTAGATTTTGACCAAATTTTTAATACTTACAATAAAGAACAAGAGTTCTAGAGAATAGATTGCAACACACCCTTTTGGGAAGATATGGAAAACTCCTTAAATCTGAGTAACGATGGAAATTTATATTAGGAATTAAGAAAATTATATTTGGGTAAATGTTGTTAAAAAGAATGTAGGAATGAACTCCTGATGAATGTTGAAGGGTTTTCTGAAGTCTAATGTACAAATATCAAAATATTTTATCCACCCTATTTATATACTTACAAAGTGGGCACTTTACAACCATCTCTAACTCTGACTGAGAAAGAAATAGGAGGAAGATGGCTTTAGAGCCAATGCAGCTCACTATGACCTTGGCAAGTAAACGACGAAAGAATGACCAAATGGTTATTCAAATACAACTATCCAGCTTGGTCAATGAAATAAGGCGTGCACCACTTCGCTTATGAACATATTATTCTAAATGCAGTTAATGATTTTCTTCTAGAACCATTATCAAATCATTGGATTAAATAAGCAAAAACTTGCTCTGAACCAGTTTAAACAACCTGTCGTCCTTTTTTTAAAGACTTCAGACAGTTAATTCCCTTATCACAGGTAAAGAGAATAGAAGATGAGCTATGGGGTAAATTTTAGGAGGGGACGCTGATAGATGTTTCACGAGAATTTGTTGAAAAATAAGCATTGATAGTAAAAATAATATCATCAAAATTCGAGCCGGACCGCTTATATTATCAAAGTCCAATTTTTTAGAGATCAATTTGCTGCAGAAAGAGATAGGATTTAAAGAGTTAGATGGGCTACAATAAGGGTATTATCAAAATTGTACACTTTGTCCTTAATTGAAACCTGATAAATTCTTTATTTCATTTTTGGGTTTAACGAAAACTTTTTAAAAATAATATATACATTTTATTTTTTTATAATATAATTTATAATTATTTTTTAATAAAAATTGTTTTTTAATTTATATTTTATTTAAATTTTTAATAATTGAAAATAAATTAAATTTTAAATTATATAAGGAATTAAAAAATTTTATCTAAATAATTAAAAAATAATTTTTATAAAAGAAAGCGAATTAGATAATAATTACCTTTTAATATGTAAATAATTTATAATCATATTTAATTAAAATGACAAAAAGCTAAAGATTTGCTGGAAGGATTGAGAATCCATATATAAATATAATAACATATCGGAAACATCCCTTTCTAAGCTATTAATGCTCGTCTACAAATTATGATGGTTTGGTAAATAACGGAAAAATAACCGGGTATTTAAAAAATATAATTATCAATTAAACAGGACGATGAAATTAGGTCTAATCACCAATTTTGTTAAATATTATGCTAGAGACATTTTATATTAAATTATTCTAACCTTTTATAGACCAATTCAAACCATTCAAGGACCTAGATTTATAAATCTTTCACAAGAATTTGTCGGCATAGGTGCCACATGTAGATAATTGGATGTTGAAAAAATTATTCCATGCCTTACAATAGTTAGCAGATACGTAGTGAAAATAACTAATGATCTTAAATAAGAATTTTCTGAAACTTAGTGAATGATTAAAATTGGTGTGAGGATTTTACAAGAGCCGATTACATATCTTTATCAATCTATTTGTTAAAAGATTGAAAATTACATTTAAAAAAAATTATTTCATAATTTTAGAGAGAATATCCTTAAAGAATTGTATAAAAAATCTAAAACTTGGTGTTCCCTAGGAATAATTTACCAAGCTCATCTTTGTACAGAGCCAACTGGGATATATATTAGATAATTTTATTTTTTAGAGATTCTGAATCTGATATACTGCCAAATAAAAAATATTCATATATTTAGATAAATATATTTTCCTTTTATTTTTTAAAATTTTATATTTAATACATAAACTGATGTTGCACACAATACTTCGCAATACATTCCAGCCAAACTTTATTTTAAAAAAATTCTCCTGAAATTAATAATATTTTGACAACCTTAAAATCATTGACAACTTGTTTTAAACAAAGTGGTATTGTAAAACATCTGAGCAAGACCCTGGCACAAAATATAGATATAATATGGAATACTTAGCATAAGATGAATATTTATTGTTTGTAAGATCTCGTTATAGACTGAAAAAATGGGATCAATGAAAAAGAAGATTTTAAAAAACTGATAATTTATGCACATTTTTTCTTTATTTATAAAAAAAAATTAGGTATGATCTTATTCTCCATTAGCATCTATAATATATATATAAAAGCCTTGTCACAAAAATCATGGCGCACTTTTCATGTCTCACTTTTCATATCACACTTTATAATATATATATTCAAAAAATCGTTAATTTTGAAAAGTGCCTATGATCGGGCAAGACTTCGCTTACAAATCTAGATAGATTATTGGACTTGGGTTCGAACCCAAGCAAATGTTTTTTTTTCTTAATCTGATAAAATTAATCAAATAGATACGATTCAAAGTTTGTAGCTACTTTAAAATTCAAACTATTTTTCTGCACAAGATAATTAAATACATTTAGAACTTTATATGCATCAAGTACCAATTCAAGTACGAGATTTATTTAAATACTTTTTTAATTCTTGAATTTATGTATAATTTAAAATTTAAACTATTATATGGGGAATCAGAATTTTCTCTTTTATTTGATGAGGGACGAATCAGAAATTTTCCTATCTTATGAGGTGTTATTTAAAAATTTATATTGATTTGGGGTTATTCTAAAATTTTCCATTATTTTTATAAAATATGTTAATAAATTATATATTTAGTAATTTTAATTTTATAATCTAAAATTTTATTATTGCTTGATGAGAGTTTTATGTTAAAACCCTTAAGAAGGATTTATTCCACATTGAATTTTATACAACTTTATATCTCTTAATTAGGTAATTTTTATGCATAAGTAAATATTTGCATCTCTCTTATCTTTTCTGAAATTGGCCTTTCTACATGCATTCCATAGTTTTGTATATTTTCTCATAACTTCATAATTTAATTGTAGAATGTATATTTTTCATAACTTATAACATTTTTGATTAAATGTATAACTTTTTTGTTTTACTTATATATAATTTGACTATGATTAAAGTTAACCTCCTATTATTTGTTAACTTAGACTGTCTTTTTATTTTTTCTATTGCAATATAGGTTGAGCTGGGTTTGAGAAATATTTTTATAAATTATATTAGGCTGGGCTTGGGGAAAATTTTTTAAAAATATTATGAGCTAGAATGCTTGAGAATTTTTTTATTATTAACTATGAGTCAGACATTGGCCTAAAAAAATTTTATGCAGGCCTGGGCTCGGCCTGATCAAAAAACCTAGGCACATGAAATGATTTTGATTGTATTTTTAACATTATGATTAATTAAATATTTTATTTCAGTTCTCAACTACCAAAATTATTATATTCACTGGGCTTGGAAAAATTTTTCAAAATTATTATGGCTTTCTACTTTGCCTGGGATGATCAATATTTATCAAATAATATTGGTATTATCATGTAAAATCTTTAAATTTAATTTTACCAAACCATAGTATTTACAGTTAGTTTTAATGGATTAAAACTGGCATGAAGGGGGGGGGGGAGGGATTAAAAGAATAATAATTGGATATTATTTTCAAATAACAGGTAACAACTATC